CACCCAGTTGTGACCAACTGCCTTTGGGAATCGTATGCAGCTGAGTCACACACACACACATACACACATACATTGGCACAAATGCCTTAAAAGCATTTGAGTTTTGCAAATGAAATCTTATCCTCTTACTGACTTACGTGTCATTTTTTTTTTTTTACAAAATCCATTACTGTAAATTGCATCTTGTAGTTGTAACACCTCAGTTTGTCCTTAAGAGGGAGACTCACACCACATAACTGATCTCCAACACAGCTTTTACTTTAGTAAAATTAAACGTAATTTACAGCTGTTGTTATTAATACAATGTCAATAATTGATGTTTTCTAGAATGCAGTAATATCCATTGCTACTTTTCTCAAAGTCCATTGTTCAACATCTAGAAAACTACACTAAACCACATCCTTTCTTAATGCCTTAAATGCTTGCCTTGATTTGAAAGCACTGTTTTATATATTTATTTCTTTTAGACTAATGGTCAATTGGTATTGATTCAGCCATCCTAGTTTAAAAGCCAATTCATTTATTTTCTATTTCCTAAGGGGCAGAGTGGCCATTTCAGCCAGGCTCCCCGGTGTCCTAGTCCTCACAGAGAGACAGTTATTCATGCTAATGCAACAAGACAGACACTAATATACACACATATAAAGTGGTACCCGAAGCCTGAGCAAGCAACCGTTACATAGAAATAGGGGGTCTTGGCAGAGAGAGGGAGAACTTGTCCTAAGCCTATTAGTACTATTAGAGATACTTGGTGGTAATGATTGAAAGCCACTTAGCGCTGGTGTATTTACCAAGAGGATCAGCCACAGCTTGGTTAAACAGGCCTGATGGATTAACTCAGTCCAATACTGAGACGTGTACACTGACCATGAGGAGAGGAGGAGGAAAGATCACTTCCATTTTCTTCTACTGCATGCCAAAATCTACTACATAGGAAGCAAACTGATGGATGTGGCAAGAAACAACACTTATATAAAACCACGTGAGCAATAAGTTTGTGAGTTTTATTATTTTCAGAGAAAAGGCAAATGGATTGTTTTAAATTAAAATTGAAAGCCGTATTTTAAAATCCCGTCGGAAGACTGTAGTTTCCTCTTCATGTACAACTGAACAAGATTGTTGACTTACATTTTTATAATTAATCAATAATAATATTGCATTAACACTTATACAGTATGCAGGTTTGGAAGTTTGGATGCTAAATGGTAAAGATGCAAGTATTTTACCTCTAAGTAATGCTAAACAACTATTTTATCAATAAAATGTAAGTGCAGTTAACTGCTGTCCCATACATTAATATGACTGTATATATGAGTCTAGATATTGTCTCGAATTAGCAAGCAAGAAAGCAAAACTTTATTTATATAGCACATTTCATTCCACAAGGCACTGCACAGACCGGAAGTTGCAGTCACACAAACTATATGGATAGCATAAAAACAACACATTAGACATTACACAATCAAAACAGACACATAATATGAGTTAATAATCTTTGTTGGGTTCCTTGTTTTAAAGGCAACATTGCAGTTAAATTAAATTGAACTTATTTATCGCTTATATGAATTAAATTAATAATAAATCCTGCTAATAAAAGTGCTGCACTTAAATGCAAATCTGAGGAACTTGTACTTTAGATGAGAATTTTAATTTCATGCTGCTTTCATGTTAATTTCATGCTGCTTTCATGTTCACTTCAATATAAGATGGTAATTATTTCATATTAAAGTGCTGCTTACATGTTAATCAATTTGTAATCATAATCCAATTATTGTTATTGTTATTATTATTATTATTAATTATTTTTCTACTTATTTCAATATTTTTGGGGGCTTTTTATGCCTTTTATTTGATAGCAACAGCTAATGACTGACAGAAAAGGGGGAAGAGAGAGCAGGGACGACATGCATCAAAGGGCTGCAGGCTGGAATCAAAGCTGGGCCACTGCAGAGCATGTGCTCTACTTACCTACTTTTACGTTAGCAGTAAAAAATAAAAAATAAAAAGTAAATCATTTAAAGCAGGACTTACTTTTAATAATACTTTAAAGGTATTTCTACACTGTGGTGTTGATACTTATTTCTAAATACTTCTTCCTTTGTGTGTGGAAATACTGTTTCATGTTCTAAAAGCACGAGTAAGGTTCCCCAAAATATAGTCACATTGATTATACCAATTTTTATCCAAGGTACACAGTTAAAATGAATTATGAGTAGCTAGGCCACACATGCAGGATTTCTACCCTTATCTGTGCAGTATGGTGAATAATTTCAACCTGTTATCCCAGAGCATTTAATATGACAAGCACTTGTAAGATAAAAGTATAACAGAAGCGAAATTCAATACGGAGCTGGGAAAGCAGCCAAACATTATCTGGTACCTTGCCATCCATTTCCATGACAAACATCAATGGCATTGTGGATCACTGGCCAGCAGTTTTCTGTCTAAGGAATGATGCTGTGCATTAAGCATACAACATTTCAACTGGCAGCCTCTGTGCGTGACCACAGTACATGATCTGCCTCATGTTTCATGAAGCCTAAAGTATATGAAATTAATTCAGCTAATATAATTTGTGTAATGTGAATTCAAGACATAAATAATAAGGAGAGGTTCTGTAGAGTGCAAACAACAGTATGGCACAAGGGATACTGAATCTAAGTATATTAAACTCCAAACAGAGGGATTAAGTTAATGTATTTTTCTGATGGTACAACATGTATAGGTTTGGCTCAAACAAAACATCACTACTTTTACTCGCCTTGTAACCTTGTAACTCTTGGAGATTACATCTGAGGGTTATAAGGGAAAGATTTCCTCAGTCCCTGAAAAAGTTGATATTTACAGATGTGAGTGTTTTCATCTTATCACCAACAACATGCATGTCCCTGCCAACCTCTCACATTAAAGACTAACATAATGCATCCAATCCAGCGGTGAGATGGGAGCTCCCAGATGTTGCTGCTGCAGTGGTGTTATGTAAATCAGTGTAACCTAGAGATTACCCTGACAGTCACATGGGTAGGACCGCTGGGCTCAGGCCTCACATACAAACACAGACAGATAGCGGATTACCCGCAGGATTTGCAGAGTAAAGCTGTCTTTTTATGATGCGTTTGTGACATTTCTGCATTTGCTTGATATAAAGTGGAAAAAACACAAAAAGACACGTGGCACTGGCTATTGTATGTGAAAGATGAGTGAGACTTGAACCCAAGATGTTGCAAACACTGTGGCACACTCAGTGCCTTACACTGCTGACTCACAGAGTGGCCTTAAGCTGTCTTAATCCTGGAGATAAATGTGCGTTGGTGGCGTTTGGTTTTTAGCCTTACTGTGTTTTCCTGGTTTTTTAAGAGGGCTTTCATGATGAAGAAGCCAGTAAGGGTTTGTGTGGTGGTGAGCTGAGTCACACAGGCACCTTAGGAACGAACATGAGGGTATTAAAAACAATGCAAAAACATGCAAATACATTTGTGTGTTTCACTTCTTCACTCAGCCTGCCAGAAAGAGGGAAAAAAAAAAACTTTATAGCTGCAGCTGTTCTGCTCCAAATATAGCTGCTGGAACACATTGATTACACAGGATATTAACATTTGTCATTTGCTTCTCTTGCCATTGATGGGAACATCACTTCAGTCTTTTCAATCATATACAGCATATTGAATCAATTTAGAAAGCACACCATACAGCCAAACCTTCCAAATACTGACTTGGATTTTCAAATGTCTGAGCATTTCTCATCCCCCCTGTGTGGTATCATTTATTATCTATACATTATTGACTGATTGGGATGAACTGCAGCCAAGTTTTCGAGGAGGGAGGAAACAGGAATTGATTCATCACTGGGAGAAAGCCTCTAATAAAAGGATGACCTCACTTTATGTGAGATGCCTTACAAGAGACATTCTGGAACAACACAGGGACTGGATAGCATCGCTGAGAGATTCAGAAGAAAGGGATAAAAGGGGGACGCGAATGAATACGAAAGGGACTCGTTTTTCAGCTCATGTTCAGTTAGGACTTGCTCCACGAGATGAGAAACAAATTCTCTCTGGCTTAAGATATCTAAAACACACTTGGAGTAAGCAAATCCACTTTAAGTCTCCGCTCTGTTGGCAAAGAGTATTCACCCGTTTCAGAAGTGCAGAGTAAGCAGTCTAGAGCCCCGCATTATCACAATTTGCCGTAGAAAGTATTAGCAGTTTTGCAATGCAGTAGGACCACTTAAAAGCACCACTGAATCATATACAGTATATCTACTTATGGTGTATGTTCAGAGCCATTCAGCACGACATGAAGAAGACAAACTTTACTTATTGTATGTTTTAATAGTCACTTCAGATGTTCTTATTTTGTTCATGGCTGGATTAACTTTCTGGGAGACTCAGGTCAACAATGAGCTTCTGGGTTTCCAATAGTTTCAATATCAGCTAAAATAATCAATAATTAATAATAATAATAATAATTGATACGGGAGACCAAAAATCCCCAAAAATTCAAAATAGGTCCTAAATATATCACATTTTCTCAACTCAAATGTTAACAGTAATAACTTTTTTTTTTCTTTTTTTTTTCTTATCTGTTTCTTATTTCTTGCTGTTTTTTTTGTGTTGTACGGTGTCCTCGAGTGCCCAGAGAGGCGCCTCTAATAATTTAATGTTATTATTATTATTATTATTATTATTATTATTAATGATGGCCCATTCATTCTTTCCAAGTGTCCCAGTACAGTCTGACAGTGAGCCAGCCCGCACAAAACAAGGACTCTGAAACTAAAGCAGCCATAAATTAATTAATTGTATTATGGAGAATTTGATAATCCAGCCTATATCTTTATTATACATAAAACATATAATGCACGGATTTTTTAAATTAATTATTTTTTTTTTTTACAGCTGTGTGTGCCTACCTACCTGTCTGTCTGTCTGTCTGTCTGTCTGTCTGTGGACGCAGACAGGTAGGGGGCGTTGAGAGGCCGCTAGAGAGCAGCCAGTGTCTGCTCAGAGCTGTGTGCTGGCAGGGGGAAGCTGATCGTGGCGGAGCACAGATGTAGTGTAGGTCGCTGGGACTCCGTGGCCAGCCGTCTGTCACTTTTCTTTTTTTTTATATATATATATACCGGAGGCTCGTTTGTGTGTCTGACATTAACACGGAATGGGAAAGACCGGATTTAATTCCTTGCACAGTTACGACGCATGAATGTGTCGCGTAAATGCGGCGGAGAGGAGCTTCCTTTCGGGGGGAAATATTTATGTTTCGGGACGGTTTTTGTTGGAGTAGCTAGTTGCTAGCGCTGGGGCTAGCGACTGTGCTGGCTACTTGGGACGTATTTATTTTCTGCAAGGATGCTACGGTGGATACGACAGCAGCTGGTAAACAACAACAACAACAAAACAACAACAAAAACACTGCTCTTGTTACCTTTCTTACAAACGCTAGCTCTCAGCTATTTAATGCAAAGGCCAAGCACACGGAGAGCTGTGTTAACTTTTATGGGGGTAACATTTAGCAGGCTAACGTAGCTGTTGCCGTGTGTGTGTGTGTGTGTGTGTGTGTGTGTGTGTGTGTGTGTGTGTGTGTGTGTTTAAACATTGTTGTGATGACAGCCAGGTTACGGTTAGCTACCTTACTAGCTAGCTACCGTTAATTAGCTGACAAAAGCGGGTTGAGGTTGAAACAACAGTCGGGCTGGTGTTGGGTTTATATTTTGAGATGTGGGTTTATTTATTTTAAGTTTAAGTTTAAGTTTAAGTTTAATCACAGCTGGTTGGTTTCCCGCTGGTAAAATATAACTGAGAGCTAGCTGGCTAACAAACTTGTGACTTAACTCCTATAGTTTACGACTTTACCTCACTCGACTTATTTATTTGTGCCAAGAAAAGAAACCAAACTAACTTTAACAAGTAGTTGGATATTAGTTTCAACTCTCGAGCAATAATTATAATAAAATTAGCACCTCTTGATTAACTTTCACCACCGGCCTAGTGTTGTTTATGTTGTGTTGTTAGTGTAAATGTATAAAACTTGGTGCAATGTTAACAGCCTATGAATATATGCTGCAGAGAGCATCCTGTATTTCCTGTAATCACCTGTTGTTTGCCTACAAACATGGCTGTGTGTTGACGAGTAGTAACCCAGAGCAGATACAACAATACCGGTCCTTGTCAGGCAAATGAGTCCGGTTTGATTCTGATTTTAACTAAGATAATGTTGCCAGGACAAAAAGGGAGAGTCACAGGGGACATAGCAGAAATATGCCAGAGGAATAAATGATCTGTGTTTCTTTGCAACCCAACAACACACCACAAAAGGTTGGTTACGTGATAGGATAGGAGTTAATTACTCTTTGTTAAAGTAGAGCTCATTGTTTGGATAAGATCCTGCATCGACATACAGTATAAATGAGAGTGGTTTGGCTTGAAGGGTGTGTGTGTGTGTGAGCATGTGAAGGAGACATGCCCATGTGAATGAAATAATGAGTGCATCTTATGAGATTAGCCACACATTGGCCAAATTGTTGATGTCGCCACAGCCTGTGAGTTTAATCAATGTTAAGGTGCTTCTCCCACGTCCTAGTCACTGAGTACTCCCTGTACTTTAGGGTTGGGTTATGTGACTCTTGCTCAGCTGTAAGTTTGTTAGTCAGGTACAAGTTCTCTTTCTGCTTTTAGAGGTCAGTTTTGGGGCCTACGCTTTTGTAAAGACCACCAGAGAGAGTTTGACTCCGTTAAAAAAAAAAAGGTGTCCTCCACCTAATTTCAGATAGCACCGTTCATTTGACCCACCCCATATAAATTGACCTGCCCAGTTAATTAAAAGTGTAATTAAAATGCATCTTAATACAATTGGCCTAATGAAAAAGTTTGTCAGGTGCATTTGTCTGACCTTGATATCAGCTGGAAGGTAATGCAGTTATGTTTATTCGCTTATCAGTGGCACTGCTGACATTGGTCCACATTAAGAAGGAAAAATAGGAAGATTCAAAGTGTGGTAGACTTTTTTTTTTTTTTTTTTTACATCAGTGGTGCTGAAATCATGCTTGTAATGTTGCACTTGCATCATAAAAGATCAACCCTAATTACAGTACAAGCAACAGTAGCAACTGGGAAAACCCTAAGACATCTTGTTCTGCAAGTATGACATGGAAACATTTTGTCAACTTCATAATAACTTCAGTATTACCTATGGGGAGTCACAGTGTGCAGTCTATTATTGCTGACTATTTGCTTTTTATATTGAGTTCCTATCTCCCAGGCAGCACTTGGTCCATGCCCACATGGTATAAAAGTAAACTCACATGTTCAGGACATCTGGCATGTGTGACCTGGCTGCTGAACAGCAGCTGGTGTAATGTAAGAAACTAAAACGTTCAGGTTGTCCCTTCTCATAACTTTAGTGATATATTATCATTGCTTGTGTTTTGAGTCTTATTTCCCAGAGGCGTTCTTCGCAAATGTGACGCTTTTCTGCAGCAAGGCTTGGTATGGCTGATTTAGGATTTTGGAGATTGCTTTACTGCACTAAGAGAGAAGAGTTTACAGCTTACAACTGCATTACATAGCAAAGATAGGCATAAAAAATACAAATATTTTTTTTTAAAATACTCACTTTGATGAATTGTCGGTATCTCAGTCAGGTTGCATTCTGTGCAGGCTTTATGCCATATTGAAATGAATACAAGCCTTAAGCTGTGTGATGTAAAAAGCTGGACATTGAGATGATTATGTGGATAAATGTTATTTGGTATAAAATTACACGTATTATGCATCTTAGCTGGTTGAGCGTACAGAATGTCCTTCACTTTTACAGTCTCATTCGGCGTCGCTCTCAGCCGTTGCTGCAGCAACCCTAATAATCCACTATATTAAAGCAGACAAAACATTTGATAATTAACTATCCCATCCTGCTCTTTGATAAACTTCTTAAAGTTCCTTTTAATCTGTAGCTTTGCTACTCATTTCATGTCACATGTTGTTAGATATCTTATTGGCATCATGCCTGCAGTCATGTTAGTATTGCTGTTGTCATCAGTAATACCGTCAATAGCAGCACCTACCGCATCTGACTACAGACAGTCTATTGCTCTCTCCCTCTCTCTCTGTCTCTCTCTCCCTCTTTGTGTTGCAGTCGTTCTGTCTTTACTGCTTGCTCTTTATTCGACTCCCTCTCTCCCTCTTTTCCATCTCTGATTAGTTCATCCCATTTTATTAAATGTCTCGTACACTATGATACGACTCAGTGCGTTGCTTTGGTTGATGCATTCTCCTGCCGTCGCCCAGCCATTGTTCAGGGCAATGATTCCCCCAAGGTACTGTGGGACTTGTAGGCCTTATGCAGGGAGTAATTACCTGTCGGCCTAAAAATTGATGGGGGCACGAGAGTTAGGGGACAAAATAAAAAGTCTGATTACAGCTGTTTGCCACAAATCCACATTGAAATCATTGCTATACTGCTATACTATTGATATACTGTCACAAAAAATAGAATGAGGCATGTTTCTTGGACACTTTAACTTCAACAGGCTGAAGTGTGCAACAAAAAGTGCAATATATTAAATATTTGGGACTTCTTCCTGATATTCAATATCAGCCTCTTTGCGCAATCTTAATGGTCTGAAAGCTTTGAAATCCTTCTTTAACTCATCTGCTACTTGTTATATCCATCTTTACTTTTGGGATTGGTATAAATTATAATCGGGGAGATAAAAAAATGAAAAATGGCTCTTACTTGGATTCACCTCATTGGTGTATTTAATGAAACGGCTAAGTGCCCCTAATATGTGCCAGTCATACCTATCCTTCAGCCAAATATGACATCAGCTTTGTGCAGTTTTCAGACATTTCTACTCGGTCTGTTATTTCCAACTTGAGGCAGTCCCAAATAACAAAATCTGGCTCTCTCGTCATAAGGTTAGGTCTATGGCTCATCATTACTGTTGCTTCTCAAGTATGTCAGATTGCTAAATAACATCTGAATGTTTAAAAAAAACCTACGTGTATTTTTATCAAGACAAGCAAATATTAAAGTCACAGACTGAATCCAGTGCATATTATATATTTTTAATTAGGACTGCTTCGTTGCTGTAGTGCAGCAGAGGTGTGCTACAATATATCTGGATCAAGTAAATAAGTTCTGTTTTGGCTGTATGAATGAAATGTATCTCTTGGGTATCTTGTATCTTGGGTAGAGTTAAATGACAGGATGCATGCCCTGAGAATCAGCAACAGCCTCAATCGGTCGCCAGTGTGTTTTTCCACAATTTAAAGTCCTTTTATTTTAGTGATTTAATTTGTTCCTCCTCAAACATTCAAAGGATAAATTGACAAGTATATGGTTTACCTCTTTAAGGTTAATGCAGCATGGTGCTCTGTGTGTGTAACACGTAACTGTATTCTTATTGGCATTATTTACAGGTAAGACTCATTTGCTTGGCATTACTGAGATATTGTGCAACATTTTTGTCATTTAATATATGCTGCCTGAGTTGATTCAGGATGGGCTCTAACACAAGGGCAATAAATGCTCTTTACTCTTTAATTGGTTTTAAAATATCCATTCCATGTCATTAACCGCCTGATAAAAACTGACCGTTAACACTTCAGTCTTATTCCAAAGATATCCTGGTGTGAGATTACTGTATTTGTATGATTATTTATTGTTCGTGTTACAAATCACTTTGTGACAGATTGATGTCAGATGGCCAATTTGAGTGTTGGGCCCTGAAGTGTGTGTGTGTGTGTATGCTCACAGCAGACCTTGATTGGAAAACAAGACACAGCATGACATTTACCATACTCTCATCCTGTTTGAGTACTTGCTGATCTCTAGCTAACAGTTATGCAGACATTTATTATCCAAATCATGTGAAGAATAATGCAATGATGTGTAGATTCTTCAACATTGGCCAAGAGGAACATTTTTACATATCATCCAACTCTTTTAAATTGCCCTGGAAGTAATCAGTCTTCTGCACTATTGTTATCCTTTATTGGTTGTTCACTTGCTAGTTCCACAAGATGAACCAGAAATGGGTGAGGTCCCTTAATTTCACAAGGCCACAGCTTTGTTACAGTTACACTGGGCAGTTGGAGTATGTCCTCAGTCAGCAGTTAAGCTAACTTAAGCTACTGTGTGCAAACATACTAATGATTAAGGAACTTGACTGATGGTTGATTGATGTGGTGGTGAGCTAGAATCTCGGACTTTGCAGACTGTCTAAAAAAAACTGGGCGGAGAAAGGGAAGAAAGTTTCTCCTCCAACAACAACAAACATCAGGCAGAAATCATGCAACTGTGTATTAAGTAAGATGTTTACCGTTGTAAAGTACAAAATTACCATTATCCATCTGCAGGGTTGTGACAGGTCATTGATCAATGCCAGTGACTCGACAGTGGCTTACGAAACTCACTTCCTGGCCCATCAGTGTCTGCAGTTCCCAGGCCATATCGGTTGATTTAAAAGCCTGCATTACTTAATGTCGGTTTAAATGTAACTGCCTCATTGGAGCCGCTCGGCAGCCAGTGTTTACAATAGTATTAGTATTGGGTAGGGTCCTGTTTCCTACTGCAGTGAACTCTGGTTGTAGAGGGTAAATCTAAACTCTGAATGCAGGACTGTATGTGCAACCGTCATGCAGGATGTTGCTTTAAAGGGTTTTCATGGTTTGCATGCTCAGTTGACCTTCGCTAAAATATTGAACAGAGTTTATCTCAAAGACCGGTGAAAAGAAAAGTCAACTGAACAAAATTCTTTGCGCTGATAAGAGTTGTGTTTTTGTTACAAATGGTCACATGTTAGATACCTCCCATAACTTTCGATTCAGTGGTTAGGCATTTTTAGGTTACTATTTAACAAAGGTTAGAGTACTATTTAACCAAATGTAACACTGCAGGATACACTGAGATGTTTTAACCAGGGCTCATTCATTTACTCTAAATTTGTGAAACCTCCTTTATCTTGGCTGCATTTCCCTGGTCGGGTATTCATAGTGAGTTGGGCAATGTTTCCCCGACTGACTCAGTCAGTACACTGGTTATACTGGTGTGGTTGAAGTATATATGTGGTTTTAAATCCAACTCTCCTACTGAAGGTCTGTGCATCCACTCCACTAATTTTACTGGTGTAATTACTGTTAAATGACCTGTTTACTGGTCTTGGCGAGTGCTACTGTATATGTGAAAGAAGTTGCATAAATGCTGTTGTGGCTCCAGAGCTAAATCTGATAAAGTGATCTCACCTGAGGCAGCGTCGGTTGGGGTGGAGATGAAGAAAATCTGGGCGTGTAGAGTTAGACACAAGCGAGGGTAAGCCTTTCTCATGTAGACCATCTTTTGAAAGCTGCGAGCAAAGTGGAAAAGAATGGATCAGAGCAAATGGAAAATCCTGAACATATTGTTTTAATTCCTAAGAGTGGAGCACTAGTTTCATGCCATGTGTTGACAGAAAGGAACGCTGTTTGTGCAAAGTTAATTCTTTCCAGCTTATGGCTCCTTGAAAGTGTTAGTGTTAGTTAGTGTGTGTGTGTATATATATATGTGTGTGTGTATGTTCAAGTGGGAAAGTGATATCTTAAAAAAAAAAACTGCTGTAGTCTAACAAGCATGCTGTTGTCCTCAAAGCTTAGTGTTAGGTGTGGTGCATTTATTTAACAAGTAATAGGAAAGCAGCAGCAGATGGAGAGCTTGAGAGTGTGAAACAGAAAGGAAGTAATGGTTCACATGTGTCCCTGAAAGGGGGTGAATCTGTGTGCTAGTGAGTGACGTGGCCCGGATACATTCCTCTGTGTGTGTGTCGGACCTACGTCATACAACATTTGCAAATATGATTGTGAGCATTTGCTTTAACCTTCTTAGTAGAGCAGACAGGTAGGGTGTGACACACAGTACAGTGGCAGAGCATTGTGTTGGAACTAAGCCAGAAAAAGTGCATCTCTTGGTTTTGGTCTGCAGATGAATGGATGACAAATGACAAACATTAAATGTACATATTGATATCGCATTAATAATTAAGACCTTACATTTAATGCGTTTTGACATTGATGTGTGTGGTTTAACTATGCTGAAATGACCACACCTGGTTTCCATTTCAATTTAAAAGACTGATCGAGCTTTTGCATAAATCATGTCATCATGGTTCCTCTTAATCCCACCTGCTGGCTAAATAACTACAGCTCATCACCGCTAGCCAGCTACTGTAGTGTAGTACTGTTCTTTTGTGTGGTTAAGGGTAAGACGGTTTGACAAGGCTAGAGATTAAACATTGATAAATGAGCTGTGCTAGATGTTTGGCATGTTTAAATGTATTTTATTTTTTGTCATTGTGCACATATTACATGCGTAGGGCTTCTATTTTTGTCTGGTTTGAATTCAGGGCTGGGCCTTAAATAAGTTCTCTTGCTTTCATGAACAAATTGTGTTGCTGGTCAAACTTGTTTTAGCCAGCTACACAATGAATTGAATGGAAACATACAGTAACAAACATTAGTAGTGCAAGAGATGTTCTTACTCTTGCACACTGTAAGTGTACGCTATCATCTGTACTTGTGTGTAGCAGCAGTGTAGTGTTTGGTACTATAGGATGCTGCACCAGACCAAATAATGGCCCATAGAGATATGGCTTTACCAGCCCAACTACACAGAAACTGAAACTACACTGAATAGAAGCATGAAATGTTGCCCCAGGGTAATTTTAGTGTGGTGTAGACTTTCAGGTGTTAGTCATGCTTCTGCTTAGTGCCAACAGTATAAAATGACTATGAAATAAGGTCATACAGTTCCCTTCCACTATCTTATTCTTCATTACAGTCAATTGCTTGTAAGTTTGATTCATTTTTAATGTAAGTACTCCTTACTAATGTAAGACAATTGTATTTTTTATGGTTGTTTTGCATATTTGTGACAAGCTTTTTTTCACCGACAAAGTGTCTGATTTACACTAGGATAGGGTGTGAATTTCCAAACATTTGCATTATACATTAATAAGACCATATGATAATTTCTCAATTTCCCAAAATATTTAAAATTTAAATTTAAGACGCTTTTACCAGTAAATCTTGGGCATTTTTGCTTGAAAAGTGATCCAAACGATTATGAAAGTAGTTGTCATTTCTGTCAGTTGATTTAATAAATTAATCTGCAAATTCTCTCAGCTACACACGAGTGTACATGAATGGACGTTAAAGGTCAACACTCAAGTGCAGCACAAATGCCCTATTTATAAAAGTTGTATAAAAGAGTTGTTTATGTCAGTTGTGCCAAGATAAAATTGGTGAGAACGGATGTACTAAGACTTGTTAACCTGCTGTCCCCTTTTTTCTGCCCCACCCCTCTCCCTCTCTTCTCATATATCCTCCCTTCCCTCAGGGCTTTGACCCCCCTCATCAGAGTGAAACCAGGACGATTTATGTGGCAAACCGTTTCCCCCAGCACGGCCACTACGTACCACAACGCTTCGCTGACAACAGAATCATCTCCTCCAAGGTACCAAATGTTGTTTAAGCCAGTATTGGAATTTTCCCAGTGATGTTATCACTACAGGATTTCATGTTAGTCAGTCACAATGACATTTTTTTATTGTCTACATAATAAAAGGTCTTAAAAAATGTTTTAACTAACATTATGAATCTTGAGATCTTTGATTTATTTCTTTTCTTTCTTTTTTTAAAATGTTAAAAATCATGTTCTTAAATTCTGTCATCACCACAGAAGCACCATGTTGGGACATTGCATGTTTAGCCATAGATTTAGGTGGTTTGAAGCATGAGCCAGAGCAGTGACAGCAACCATGGCTAAAGAGAAAGTGTTACAGAAGCTCTATAAACTCCTCATGAGCTGATTTCTGGCACCAACTTGAACAGTGTTAAAGAAATTAATCTGGAGCTCTGGTGTAGTGGGAAAGAGATAAGGAGTGAGGCACAATTTGTTGATAACAGGATCAACTCAAACAAAAAAAACTTTTGTGTTAGTGAGAGGATTAGTAGGTCGGTTGGAAGATTGTCTGGACAAAAGAATAATAATCTAAAGAGGCTGCTGCCCGGCACCAGCAGTGATGGCTGTCATTGATTAGGCAGTTGATTAAGTAATTGACAGTATGGTTAAGTCACCTGGGTCAGAATTAAATTGATTTAAAGTCATGCAACAAGCAGCTCAAATAAAAACAAGGTTAGTATTGGTGCAGCCATGGTTTTTTTCCTTTAGCTTTTTTTTCCATGCTGTACAGGAAGTGATGAACTGAAAAACAAGAGTGAAACAAAAACAGGTCTGGTGAATGTTGTACTGAGCACAGCTCGGTGAACCATTGAACCAGTGTCAGAATCACAATTATTTGAAGCCACGCTAAATACTCTCCTGCAGATACTCTGCTTAAATAACCTTTCCTTAGTCTTTGTCCTAAATGTTGTTTTTTCTTTCTCTTTCAGTACACAATTTGGAATTTTGTCCCTAAGAATCTGTTTGAGCAGTTCAGAAGGATAGCCAACTTCTATTTTCTCATTATCTTCCTCGTACAGGTAATAACGCTCACAAATGCACACACACACAATTCATTTTTGCAGGTACATGTCCTCTTCAGTCAGATGGTGACGAGTCAAGTGTGACCTCAGTTTTCCTCCCCTAAATACAAATGTGCATGAGTGAGTGACTCATCGACTTCTAGAGAGACAGGTCTGCCTGTGCATTAAAACATTACACCCACACATTAAGTATTATGGGTGTCTTTACAGTCGGCCCTAAGTGTTAGGCCTTCACTATGCATCAGTCAGCCTGTGCTGAAGTAGGATTTGGCTTTCAAATTTTCAGGCTTCTCCTTATTTATGTGGGTCTGTGTAGTGAAGCCAAAGCAATCGACTTGACTCTGTCTCAGTCTCTCTTTTCGCCCCTGCAACTTGTCAGTGAAGCTGAAGTCAGCTTAGTTTCAAATCACCGAAAGGAGGACCTCATTTCATCTTGGCGTTGTGAACATGACGTTTTCTTAGATGGCCAATTTGACCACTTTTGGATGGCCCTAGATGGATTCCTAGATGCCTGTTTCCCTTGTGAAATAAAGAAAAGTCTTGGTCTCATTATAGTTTATGTAAATTCTTATGCTAGAGTTTGTCTCTTGTTACTGTTGGTTAAAATGTTCAGATAAAACTTTGGTGTGTGTTAGGTACCCTGAGGGGTTTTCTCATAAACAAAGAATACATCCGATGTCCCTCACCTAAAGCCGCCATATTTATCGTTCATCAGTTCATTTTCTTAAGATAAGATAAGCTACGACCCTCTCGTGTCAAGCAGCACAGAGCAGATCGCACTGGCAGGAAATCAAACACAGAAACGGCATAGACACAATTTCCAACAAAGCGTGTGTAAAACTGCTTTTTCTGCTCAAAATCAGCTTGTGTGTTTCCGCTTGGATTTTAAAGTTTGGTTCAACCAAATTGTCTTGACCCCCGCAAACCGTGATGTAATATGCAAGACTCTGAGGTCTATTACATACGTTGACAGTCCTTAACAACCCTAACCCTCCCAGTAAATGTTTTAAATATGCTCGGAGGGTATGTATGTGGATCTATAAAATGTTAAAATGTAATCCAGGAACTAATAATAGAAACACTAAGAGGACGTTCACTGTGCCTCTTTGTTCTGTGCTTAAGCTATCATAAGCTAATCTGCAAAAAAACTTTATATATACACCAGGGCGGATTGGCATCATGTACTAACCACAACGTCCCCGTTTCCAATCTTTAAAAAAAATGTCCAAAAAAGAATAGTTGAAAATATGTGAATCAAAAAGTAAAATGGTATTATTGTTAACATTTGCAGAGATGGCTTGGCTTTCATTTTTGTATCATTGAAGATTTGTGCAAAATATGTGTGAAATTTTATAAACAAGCTGAGACGTGTCTGCTGCAATAAATGTTCCTATGAGTGTAATTCTTAACTGACAGTTTACCTTTGAGGGAAGTTGTAGGGGTTTCCTGTTTGACACATCAGCCACTACTTCTCTTTGTTGTGTTTCTAGTTGGTTTGTTTTCTCTCCAACATGGCACACCCACTCTTATTGAGTCTCTGGTGTCATTTTCTTTCTGCTACAATTTGTTGAACTCTCTCCACCACTGCCTCTGTATTTGTCTTTCCAGTTAATGATAGACACCCCAACTTCCCCAGTCACCAGTGGTCTGCCTCTCTTCTTTGTGATCACAGTAACTGCTATAAAACAGGTGAGAACACAACTTAGCTTTCCTCTTTGTTGGGCTGAAAATGGGGAACTGATATACATGCACAATTCAAATGAGAGTAATTGTAGTCAAAGACTTGTGATATCCTGCTTCGACTTTCAGGATTTAGTTGAATTAAAATTGTTCAGGAGAACCATTTTTGTAAATTTCTTCACTCACAATGTTAAATATATGATGCTTTATTCTCTAACTAGTAATGAACTGGGTATTGGTATAAAAAGATGTGTTTGGAATAACTTAAACATCAATGATTTATATCCGTTGATCACTGATTAGTCATGCCAGCATTGCATCACCAGTTGCTGTATGTGATTGAATGTATTTCGTCATAGGGCTACGAGGATTGGCTGAGACACAAGGCGGACAACGAGGTGAATGGGGCTCCAGTGTTTGTGGTTCGCAGTGGAAGTCTGGTCCAGACAAGATCCAAGAACATCCGGGTAAAATGGCAACTTTATTACTCCAGTTCACAAAGCTTTACTCGAGAACAGGAGAATACTTCTAGCAAAGTGAAGCATTGTGTTTGTTAATGGGGAAAGCCTGTACTTAAAGGACCAGTGTGTAGGATTGCAACACCCTCGCCTCACCCGCCCATTTCTAGCATGTAGAAGAAACTACGGTGGCCGCAAAAAACTCAAAAGGCCCTGTCTTCTGCCAGTGTTTGGTTTGTCCCTGTGTAGAAACATTGGCCCGGAAACAACCGTAGAAGAGGAGCCACTCCCTCTGTAGATAAAATCGTCTCATTCTAAAGTAACTAAAACACAATTATTCTTATTTCCGGGTGATTATTCACTAATGAAAACATACCTTTGAATATTATGATCTATTTCTGCCAATAGATCCTCCTAAATGTTACACACTGGACATTTTGAAATTACCTAAAAATAGCTTTTCACGGTGCATAGCCAACAGCCATAACTAACTTAAGCTTAGCTGTTAAATTCCTGGTGCTAGTGGTGTTTGTGTGGAGCTAGTCTGTATAGAAAGATAACATAAGATCATCATTTTGTCAATGAAAAGAGAACTGTTTCATATGTTAGGATTGCAAAAAACTGGGGCATTCATAGTGTTCAACACAAGTGCGACTGGAATGTTCTGTGAATGATGCATTTGTTGCAGTAACTCGAGTCTCTACTAATGCCACTGTTTGTTTCATGTTAACTGTGTATCTGTACTGGACTGGTTGGCATTATTTGTCTTTGCAGGCCATCATTTTCCTGAATACCCCTAATATACCATAGTGACCATTTTTTGAGCCGCTGGCATATTTACAGCCCACCCATCAGCAGGAGGAGTTTTTGCTGCCTCAATAAGCCTGTAACTCAGAACATTGCAGTGCACACAAATCCTCTGAGGTCAGGCTTCTCAGAGACACTGTAACTAGTGTGTCTGGAGCCATTGCAACGCTACTTAAATGACATGTGTCTTTTTTTTGTCAGCTACAGCATGCATATATCTCCTCTGCAAATCACCTGTGTTCTCCTTTTGAAAAAATAGAAACCAAGAACCAAAAGGCAGTAATTTGTATTCTTTATTTTTTGGCTTTGTGAATGCACCTTCTAGTTCTGCATTAAGCCAATCAAATCTTGGATAGAGCATTTTACAGACCAGATGGACACACTGAGCTAGACAGGAGCCTGCAACATAACACAAGACCACGTCTCCCCTTCTTATCTAACTTACAAACATTAACATACGTATTGTTCTGCAGCTTGTTGAACGAGTGGCCAAACAAACATTCACTGGGAAACAGTGCCCTTGACATTTTGTATGTGTGTGTTTTTCTGCCTGCCCATCCAGGTGGGGGACATTGTTCGTGTGGCTAAAGATGAGACATTCCCAGTTGACCTGGTGTTGCTGTCATCAGATCGTGAAGACGGCACCTGCCACATCACCACAGCCAGCCTCGATGGAGAGACCAACCTTAAGGTCTGCATGTGGGAGTGTGTTGGCTTTATGGGTATATGTGAGAATATTTGTGGTGTCAAAAAGGAAAGACTACTATTAATCAGTAGAAGCTCAAACAACCATTTGATAAACAAGATAGCCTCACATCCAGAACCAAACCTGGTTGCCAAAACTGGAGAAGCCAACTGGTAGAGTGTAAACACACAAGTTACATTCAGTAAAACACATACATACATATTAGGTTTGTTCTTGAGGCCTCAAACTTTTTGTAGATATAAAGCTTTATGTCCTAACTGTTTGTTCATGAGTTCTTTATGAATGAATGAATGAATGAATGAATGTATGACCTCTACTAAGTGTTTTTGTCCAATTTTAAATAATATTTCCCTTCCATCAGCATTAAACTGTATTTGCACGTTGTGTATGTATGCTTGTAGACTCACTACTCTGTGGCGGAGACAGCAGTGTGTCAATCGGTGTCCCAACTGGAGGCTCTGCAGGCTGTGGTGGAGTGTCAACAACCGGAAGCTGACCTATACAGGTAATCTGCATCTGTGTGTGTATGGACACCTTCAAGGTTCGAGCACAAATTCCAGTGTGAAGTCGCATACAGTAAACCCATACAATAAAAGACTACACCCAGCTAAACACATTTTGGAACATTAGAAATTAAGATTAAGATTCTGCCTTTCGAAATCCTCATTCCTGAACCTGTTGTGTTTATTCTATTTGGTCTAGCTTTTTATTTTCAATTGTTTATCTATCACACTAAGCACTGTATAGATAATTCATTTGACTGATTTCATTCCCTGGAATTGCCTAAGAACCCCTTGAAGTCTCCAGAACCCATTTTAAAAACCACTGTGATTAATGCGTGTTCGAGATGTGTTATTAAATGTGTGATGGGGTGAGATGACTTCATCACCTCTTAACAACCCCTGTTTCTCTTGTCTGTCTCAGCTGGCTACTTCAGGATCGATCAGTATATTTTTAGATCAGGCAGTTTGTTTCAGTGGCAGTTCACGCCCTCCCTCCTCTCTTGGTTACTGTCTCTCTCTCTCACTCACTGCATTTAAATGCACTTAACTAACACAGCTCTTGACCGCTTTTTGCAGTCATTTCTTCAACATCATATTAAATCAGTTTAAGGGATTAAGTTAAAGATTGTCAGAAATCTGCTGGAGGAACCTGATTTTATAAACTTTACCAGGTTTCCTATTGGGTTGTTACATGTGTGCATGGCAAACACTCCAAATAGGGAAAGCATAGCTGTGGCAGCAGTGCAGCAGGATAAAAATGAAGATCTGTACTCGTCATAATTCGTCCTTGTTTTCCTAATAATATAATCAAAAATCCAACTGAAATGAAAATAAACTAAATATGCCAGTTCCCTCTCCTGAACAGTTGTTTGTATGGTGTAAAAGCCATCTGGATTTCTTGTATTTGCACGATTCTTACAGCCCAGTTTCCTGTTTACATGTGAACTCTGTTACTCTCTCTATCATATCAATCAACTAAAATGGCTTTGGTTTTTTTCTAGGTTTGTCGGTCGGATTACAGTGACTCAGCATGGAGAGGAGATAGTAAGGTGAGACCAGAGTCCAGCTGCTTTGACTAATAATTAGATTAATGTTTATATAAGTGCTAGACAAGACAAGACACTACTTGACAGACATCTCCAAAAGACAGGCTTTGGATAAAGGGCGTTCTGATTAATGTAGGGAATGGTATCAAGGTTACAGACAAATTAAATGGGACATTACTTGGTTGAAACATCAAAGCATGTCTTTGTGAATAGTTGTTCATGCAATGTGCAGGCTTTAGCACTGGGTTACAAAATTACTAACCACTGGTCTAACGAAATGAAGCTGTCAAAGATATTTAATCAGCAGTGGGCTGCGATGCCACCAAGACATTTGCAGCTATATGAAAATGATCAATTACACATACAGAAGATGTATGAGACTCATAGACTGCTGTTGAGTGTTTTAATTTATATCAAGGTCCTACTGTGTCTTGTTTGTACCCAAATCCTACAGCCACATCCATCTTTGTCTGTATTTATGTTATTTTTGTTTGCTTTTATGTCAGACCGCTGGGTCCAGAGAATTTGCTGCTACGAGGAGCCAGGTTGAAAAATACCAAAGAGATTTTTGGTGAGTCAATACAGTTGGAATGAAAATACAGTAAAAAGGTCCTGCAAAGGCATAACCTCTACCTAAAAGGAACGCAGCTAGGGAAGTCTCAAGTTGAAGTGAGAGTTAAAGAAAGACAACATTTAGCGGCTCCAGAAGAGGTTGTTTCTGAATTGCTTCCAGTGGATATTGCAAGCATCAATGAGAGTTGACACAGCCACGTCACAGCTTTGACACAAACAAGCCATGTTCAGTGGACATTACGGGTAGGACAGGCCACTCATTATCATATGGATGAGGTCTGATTATGTTAACTGAAGACTGTTTGTGTAGGCTGAATCTTAAAAAGACTTTTATAGGAATGCCCCAATGCTTCACTAGTGTGTCTCTGTATCCTGTTTGTCTATCATAGTTTGGCATAGAGAACCAGAGCCAATGATCTACTCTGGATACATGGATCATTTTTATGTCTTATTTTCTCATGATTTCATGCACAAGTCGATCAATAGTCTAGTGGTCTAATGTGGTGTAATAATTTAACCAACTGTGCTGTTGCAGGTGTGGCAGTTTACACAGGGATGGAGTCCAAGATGGCCCTCAACTATAAGTGCAAGTCCCAGAAACGCTCTGCAGTTGAGAAGTGAGCTCTTTCTGTTGTCTCTCAGAGTAAAAGAAATATTGCTGTTTTGGGATATTCTTACTTAAACATTCAAATTTGAAATATTTTCCTGTGTCAGGTCCATGAACACGTTCCTAATCATCTACCTGGGCATCTTGCTGTTCGAGGCCATCCTCAGCACCATCCTGAAGTATGCCTGGCAGGCTGAGGACAAATGGGATGAGCCTTTCTACAACCAAAAGACTGAACAAGAGAGAAACAGCAGTCCGGTTAGTCAGCTTTCCATTAAGCACCAGAAGAATGCATTCCTATTGATTTGATTTTGTAAGTGGTGCAGGCTATCAGCCCCAGAGATAAGATGAGGTAAGATTTTAGCCGACATTCCACTTCCTTCCACTTCATCTCCTCGCCATATATTAATGGATATTTATTCATAGAGAAAGTTAGTGAAGATTTAAAAATGAGCCCACGCTTGAATTCACGTGTATACACATACACATACAGAGTCCTACAAGGGTGCTAGTAGGGCGGTTTTAGTGTCTAGATTATGTGACAAGGCATGAGAGGAAGTGCCTTTCAAGGGGCCAGTCTGCCGGCCTATCAGCCTACCTGCCAACACTAATCAGTCAGAGAGAACAGCAGCCTCCATGTATTGTGACAGAGGGGAATAAAAATCGCAGTTGTTCACTCGCCTTCCTTCTCCCTAGAGACAGAGAAGAATACCAGTAACAAATTAATGGCTGTGTTTTTAGATTAAGTATAACAGGTGCTCCAGAAACCTGCTGGCACTGTTACACTGTATACCCTCTACCAGTGACTGCACATCTCCACATCACAGCTATCTCCTCTCTCCTGGGAATCTACCGGTCCTTCAAAAGCCTGAAAAATGTCTAAATTTAAGGGCTAAATATTACAATATCTAAATCCACAAAGCACAACTACTAAAAGACTGTATTTGTTCTATTCCATGATAGGTACAGTATTTTTTGTTGCATGTCCCGTCCGCTGCTAGACACCAGTCATTTTTACTTTGATTTCTTTATTTTGTTAAGTAACTTAGTCAGAGCTCAAATCCATATCTAACATGTCATAAACTTGGCTTTTGTATAACTGCGGATATTTTCAGTCTGTGGCCCTCGCTCACTCTCCTTCCCTGTCACATAAAGTAATTAACTCCTTAATGGGAATGAATTACCCTGCCTGCTTTGATTTAGAAGGATCAGTGCTGAAGCACCATCACTCTGTGCGGCTTAGATGTGTATTAAGCAATTTTTTTTGCAATCTTAATCTTTTCTTCCACCTTCTAAAATGATCAGTTGCATTAAAAAAGGCTGAATGGAAACTGCAAAATGTGACATGAAGTGCAAAATCATTTTGTGCAGACTTGGAAAAAATGTAAAAGAAGAAGGGAAAACAACAACAACAAAAACATTATTGCACATTGTACATCAGACATGCCAAGTAAAGAGATTTGTCACCCTGAAGTGTAGTTGGTTGGTTGGTTTATCCTCCTGTCTTGTTTCACTGCTAATTTTTGTCATTATGTTGCTCTCCTGTTGTGTCTCACTCTGATGAAATCTACTCTTATCCTTCTTTAGATCTTGAAGTTCATCTCAGACTTCTTGGCCTTTCTGGTCCTCTATAACTTCATCATCCCGATCTCGCTCTACGTTACTGTGGAGATGCAGAAGTTCCTGGGCTCCTTTTTCATTGGCTGGGATTTGGACCTTTACCATGAGGAGAGTGACCAGAAAGCTCAGGTTAACACCTCTGACCTCAATGAGGAGCTGGGACAGGTATGGATTAGAAGTGCAGGAATACATACATATAGAAGGGAGTAAAGATACATACATATAATTTCTGTTTTTGTATTGTATATTTAAACTGGGCCCTATTTTTACATATTTTGGGGGTCTAAATGACTAATAGGTACAAAAAGCTCTGGAATTGGTCCAGGAGATTTTCTCAATTGGAAAACGGGGCAAATGCACCTGTGAGTATGTCCACTAATGGTGCTTGTTTTTGCCACTGACAGGTGACACTGGCACTGCTAAGATTGGTAGAAGAGTCTGACAACATTATGGAAAGGATCCCTACAGAGATAGACCTTTTCAGACAGCCTTTTCCAGTGGGGAACTGCTGGTCTACTACTGCCTCGATTAGTTAGATAGTTAACACGTTACTTTGAACTAACCCTTTAAAACACACACACACACACACACACACACACACACACAATAACACAAACAAACTGATCAGAGGAGTCTAGTGACTTTCAAGAGAGGCTTTAGTTCCCTGTCGGAAAGGGCTTTCTGAAAAGTTCTGTCTCTGTAGGGATCCTTTCCATAAATGTTGTCAGACTCTTAAAGTCTGAGCCTGTCAGTTGCAAAAACAAGCACTTTTAGTGGACATACGTCCGTGCCCCCAAGGATTACATTGCAGCCAATACAGCCCATTTCACCGTTGCCGACTTACGCAATCTAGTACACCAATTCCAAACTGTGTTGTATCTAATAGTTATTTAGACCCCAGAATATATAAAAATAGAGCTCAGGTTTTAAAAATACCAGAATTACCCTTTTAGTACACAGTGAACACATAAAAGTTCCTTTTGAATAGGATTAAAGGGAACTTGAACTGCACAATACTGAACTTGTGTGTGTGTTTATGTGTGTGTTTCTGTTTTTTAGGTGGAGTACGTGTTCACAGATAAGACGGGTACGCTAACTGAAAATGAGATGCAGTTCCGTGAGTGCTCAATTAACGGAACAAAGTACCGGGAAGTTAATGGCAAACTGATACCTGAGGGAATGACTGACGATTCGCCCGATGGTTCTACGCCTCACCTGGTAACTCACATATATATGCATTACATTCATATTCTATTTTTATATACACATTCTATAAATGTGCATTATTCTCAGTGCTTCTGTCAAACAAGCACAACCATAGCATATGAACAGATTAAGCTCAAATGTCGGGGATGGCTTTTGTGCCTCGAGCCGTTCATGTAATCAACAATAGATGATCGGAGTATGCACAAAACTTGCAAACATACAGTATGTGCATTATATGCTCTGCACCCCTTCCCATCAACATCTGCTACAGCTAGAGGCTGCTTTTTGCAGATGAAGTGACTCTGAATCACATCTCCTATGTTTACAATGACATACATTATGTCAGATCTGATGGCGTTTGTTCCTCTTTTATCCTTCCCTGTTTTCCCTCGAACCAGATTGGTGATGAATTGTTATTCGTCAAGGCGGTCTCATTGTGTCACACGGTTCAGATCAGCTATGACCAGCCAGACTGCCTGGTTGGGGGAGGAGACCCATTCTCCCATGCAAACGGTTTCTCCTCCACTCACATGGAATACTACGCCTCTTCACCGGATGAGAAAGCTTTAGTAGAGGCAGCAAAGAGGTAAGGTCACAGTAGACTTCTCTTCTGTGAGAACCAGCTAAGATAGCTGATCCTGAGCCTTCATCCCAGCTGTTTCCACCAACCATCAACAGTACAGCCCCATTTGATGCATGCCTCACATAATTAGGAGTGATTGCACTTCACAGCAAATTGAAAGCACTGAAAATGTAGCGTAACTCCAATATTCATGTGTAATGTGGTGTTACACAGTACATGGGTCTGTGATTGTTACAGCTCAGGAAATGTGTACATGCCAGTCATGGTCTGTGTGCAGGGGGGTCAAATGATAAAATAAAACAAAACTTATGATAGTAATGTATATTGTAATGTGTGATAATAATGTAAATGCCCTTTCTTAACCATCGCACTAAATCCTGGATGTTGATGGTGATGATGTTAGATATTTTTCTTGTACTACCTGTTCTGACAGTGTGTCTGGCTGCCACTTGTGGAGGTTGGACTGCAGGTCAAATGCAATGTGGCATTATTTCTTACTCACTTGTCCATTTTATTGTCACAGAAATGAAGTACAGGCAACAATTTAATGTCTAGGGAGTTGTAGAAAATCCTCAAGTAGGTCTGTGTAGAAAATTGATTCTTCTGTACTGGTTTAGTAAAGGGTAGTTAAAGACTTTGAAGCTATAAAACTCCTCCAGTTCTACAAGAAAACAATGGAGGATTGACAGTTAAGAAATGTGGCTGTGTAGCACCCATCTAAATTGTCAGACTTCATGATGCACGAATGAGTGATCCTGGCCAGTGTAGTTTTTACACCATCAAACTAAATTATGTCGAGTAGTCAGTGGCTGCACCCATGACCCAATGCTTCCATGCTCCATTGAGCTGCAGCCGGTCTATTTGTTTTGATTTAAACCGAAAGGAGACACAGTAGGAACCATAAATCATAAATCACTCAGAAATAAAACACTCCGTTGCAATCCCATTAAAAATGTAACCTCAGCATAAACTCAGTGGCAGTGCAATTAAAAGTAACTCATCATTTATAATTTAAAATTCCGTAAAATGAATAGCATGTGACTGACGCAATGCAAACAGCTTCATTAATTTTGTTTTATTATTTATTTCTGTCACCGTACACATTCAATGAAAAACCACACCATCGGCCTTTGGCTGCATATTTTTTGTGCTTGTGTGTTTCACATCGTTTTACTTACACAATCCAGATGACAATAGGATTTTTTTTCTTTGATTTTCTTTACCTTTCCATTTGTTGAGCTGTTGGTGTCATTCTTTACTGTGATTAGCACAGCTGTTACAACCCGATTAGACCAGTGATGTGACTGGTTACTGATTATTTATCAATCACCACATTTCTGATCTATATTTCACCCCACCCAGACCCTTTTTACTGCGCCGCTGCATACATGAATGCGCCAAAATGGCAGGTGCGCTTTGAGATGCCTACACAGTCTCCGTGCCCACTTGTTGTGCTTGCCCAGTGCTATAGCAAAAGTTACATTTCTTATCTTTTGTGAAAGCCCAATTACCTAACTACCTTAACACCTTCCAAACTCCAGATTTGATTTTCACCCGTGCTTTAAAGGTCAAAATGTCCAGATTTCTAGTTTTGACTGCTGTTTCTTTTTTCCTCAGGATCGGAGTAGCCTTCACTTGCTGCAATGGAGATACCATGGAAATTAAAACATTTGGCAAGTCGGAGAGGTACATCTAACCCTGTGCATCTTTTAAATGACAAATACCTATGCAATGAAAATTAGCCATGTAGTTTGTTTAAGCTACCTGTGAAAAAGAAATGTTCAGGACAGACCAAAGTGACTTAATGTGATTGTCTCTGCTCTCTCAGATATAAACTGCTCCATGTATTAGAGTTCGATGCCAACCGCAGGAGGATGAGCGTCATACTACAGACACCCTCAGGTAACTCCACCTTACACTAAAGCACCAGTGTTTTTAGCATCATTGACAACATTTTGACTGCAGCAACAAACAATGAAAGCTTGACAAAAGACAAATTGATCATGAGGTCAAACAGAAGACTGGAAATTAAGAAACATGAAAGGCTAATTATAAAAGTTAACACCACAAGAAATCCATGCAAATAAAAATACATTAAAATGGTTTGACAGGGTGGAGATAAATGTTTCATAAATTAGTAAATATATATATCATATTTAGTTTTTGTATATATTTACCTTCTACATTTTCCTCTTGTTTCACTTGACTTTCAAGGGGGCACGGTGCTGTTCACCAAGGGTGCTGAGTCGGCCGTCTTGCCTTTCGCTACCGGTGGTGAGATAGAAAAAACGAGACTGCACGTTGACGAGTTTGCCTTGGTGAGAATAATATTTTTACATAAGTCTTTGAAATGTATATGTTGTCTCAGTATGTTGTCCAACAGCTTGTTCTATTACAGCTGTATTATGCATCCATTGAGTGGGTAGTGATCAGAACATATTTTCTGTGAATCTGCACACAATCTGGACTCAAGGGAGTTATACTGACACAGTATATTCTCTACACTTGATCAACAGTACTTATCTTACTCTTTTAGATTACATGCACTTTATTTTGTGTTGAGTCACAAACTACCTGTGACACAGTCTGTGGAGTTCATATGATTATCAATCTTCATCTTTTCCCTACACGAAAGACAAGTAGTTATTGTCGACCCTTCGAGACACATTAAATAAACTTAATATACCAGACTTGCTACTTCAGGGAATTTCCTCACAGAAAAATGTCTCTTTAGCTTATAATGAAACCTTCTTAATATCCATATGTTCACAATTGTGCGTCTCTGCGTGTGTATGCCTGGCATTTCCCGGCGTTGTAGTGATTGCTTTTGGCTCTGTCGCTCTCTGTTCTCATTAGACTGTAAATTCTTCACCACAACAGCCACATACACACAAACACAAATCCACACGTATCTAGCCCCCACATCATGTCATAGGACGTCAGTACCCAGGAGTCGGTGCTCTGGACTGGGTTGATTTGTGGTCGTCTAGCCCTCAGGCTGGTTCCGTGATTTAAAGCCAAGCTTTGATAATTTGTTTTTCTGTTCTTTCACTCTATGCCTCCATTCATCTCCCTTTCCTTCTCTTTTCTTATCCACATTTTCTTGACTTCCTCGCATTTACCCTTCCTCTCGACACAAACTTATTTAATATGGTTATATATTTTTCTTCCTTTAATACTTATGTTCTACTTTCTTTTTGTTATCTATTGTTTTTTTTTATCTTACCTCTTTCTCCTTTATATCTCTATCCATCACCCTCCCTCCTCCTCCCCCCACTGCAGAAAGGTTTGCGGACCTTGGTGGTAGCATGTCGCCACTTCAGCCCAGAGGAGTACGATGATGTGGACAGACGTCTGAACGCTGCCCGCACCGCGCTGCAGCAGAGGGAGGAGAGACTGCAGGAGGCCTTCAGCTACATCGAGAAAGACCTGCAGCTGCTGGGAGCAACAGGGGTTGAGGACAAGTATGGAGACTTAACAAATACATTGGAATATATTGGTGTTGTCCCTTCTGAAAACTAGTTCTCATCCCCTCGTGTATATGTTCACAATCAGTTTATCAGTACATATAGAAAGCATTAGCACATTGCAGTGTTGACTGTGTTTAGGTTACCGTCTTTGGTCGCTTCTAATATATTTGTATGTATATTATATTAACTCATGCACACATGGGAAGAAATTTATTCTAAGTCAAGACTTCCATCCTTCCATTATCGTCCTGTGATCTGTGGTCAGGACGCAGTGATCGAGTAGGTCAAGTAAGGCACTCCTCAGCAACACCTTCCAGCTCTTCCCTGGAGATCCCGAGGTGTTGAAATATATATATATATGAAATATATAATCCAGCCAGTTCTGGGTGTATCCCGGGATCTCCTCCCATTTGGACATGTCCGGAAAACCTCCAAAGGAAGGCACCTAGAAGGCATCCTTATCAGATGGCCGAACCACCTCAACTAGCTCCTTTCAACACACCTCTATGACTAAACCTTTAAAACTAATGACATTCCCATTAGTCCCAGCTGGATTTTGTGTTAAGTGCTAATTAGCAAAAGTTAGGAAAAACATACTTAAACATCAGCATGTTTGCATTGTCTTAGTGAGCATGTTAGCATCCTTACAGTAGCATTAGGTTAAAGCACTGCTATGCCTAGATGTTGCCTCACAGAGCCAGTGGCTTGGCTGTAGACTCTTCAGTCTTGTGAAAATGTTTTGTTACTATAATATCTAGCAATCAGCTTTTTACACTAATTTATACACTCAATAACGATGGGAGTCGCTCAGAGCTAGAGAAGTAAAGAATAGATAACCAAACTGGGGCATTATAAAACAGTCAGAAACATGTGGCCAAAAAACACACAGATTGAGAGAGTGGGTGGGAGAATCTCCAAAAAAACTCACAATGTATAGTCAGCAGAAAGATAGAGACGTCACCTCACTGAGCCTCTCTGGAAATAAATGTTGATATGTGTTTGCATCCGCTCACCATCTGCTCCTCACATAAGCCCCTCGCTTCTCCCACTCCGTTTATTTTGCTGCTGTCTCTCTCTTTTCTCTCCACTGCTCTGTTTCTGTATCTGGAATGAATTCCTCCTCAGGCACACATGGTCACAATCAAGGGATCTTCTCCATTATGGAAGACAAGACTACAATTTCCCTTTGTTCTGAGGCTCATAGCATAACGCCAATAGGCATGAAGTATTTGAACATATTCATTGTCTATTAACCTCTTTAGGAGTATTAACTGTGGTCAGAAATAGGATGAATATTCTAACAAAACAAAAAAAATCTGTGCTGTGCAATGTCAGAGCCAGTTTTCACCCTCCTTCATTCATAAGACATGGATAACATAAAGCCAACTTTGCACACTGAGAGCCCTTAGTTTTATGCAATGCTGTTTAAGCAGTCTAAGACTACCTACCCACTACCTTTGTCTAACCATAATGCATACAATATTTTTTCTTTGCTTCTGCATTTTGAAGCAGATTTGTGCATACTTAAGGACTTTACTTGGGAGATAAAAGGAACTTTAAGAAATGCAGACTTATTGCCAATAGGTGTATTGAATTATTGACACTGTACTAGCAAGCCTCCAGGGCGTGTCCACGTTACGCCCACAGAATCAAAACACCTGGTTTAAATGCCAGCTTGCTTCATCACCTCAGTCAAAAAAAGTCTAAAACAAATTTTTCTTTAGGTTTATGTTACACTGTGGGTTGACCTCATATAATTCTATATGTGAATTTGCATGTACAAAACACATAACACGATTACATGATATATATTCTCTTTCTCCCATGTCTTTCTCAGACTCCAAGACAAAGTCCAGGAGACCATTGAGGCTCTTCGGCTGGCAGGGATCAAAGTATGGGTGCTCACAGGGGACAAACACGAGACGGCAGTCAGCGTCAGCCTGTCCTGTGGCCACTTCCACAGAACCATGAACATCCTGGAGCTGCTGCAACAACGCTCTGATAACGAGTGTGCTGAGCAGCTTCGCATACTGGCCAGGAGGTGAGTGTGTGTGTGTGATTCTTTTGTCAACAGAATATACACAGTGTATCTTAAAATACATTTTGAGGCCTTGTATTCTGAGAACATCTTTAACTATTAGAAAATAGGGTTTTGTTTTAATTGGATATTGGAGGGATTTTATAAGACATTTGAATACTGTCCTGTCTGAGTTTCTGCAAGGAAATTAAGAAGTAGGCAGGCTGAAATTGCTACAGTTTCCCAAGTAAAACATATGTAAAAAGTTCTTTATGTGTGTTTACTATATAGTCTAGCTCTGAAACTGAACCTAAACATCTTAGTTCCATGTCCTACAACATACTTTACATATACAAAAAATGAAGTTGTCAAAGCTTAAAAGTGTTCTACGTAATTAATCTTTAGAATACAAACAAAAAAGTTGAATGCATCTGTGACAAATGTGCATGAAACAAAGCATTTATATAACGAAATAACGTGCTGGTGAATCGACTAACAGTAAACTCTTATATGGCATTAGATGGTAGTAGTTGGTTGTCCATCTCCTCTCATATTCTAATGTTCTCTGATTCTCTCTCCATTGATTTCCAGGATAAAGGAGGATCATGTCATACAGCACGGGTTAGTCGTGGATGGGGCCAGTCTGTCTTTAGCGTTGAGGGAACACGAGAAGCTCTTTATGGAAGTGTGTAAAAACTGTTCAGCTGTGCTGTGCTGCCGCATGGCCCCGCTGCAAAAAGCTAAGGTACCAGTCCTCTGCCATACCCACACACACACACACACACACACCTACACACACACACCACCCACCACCCACCCAAATACATTGCCCTCATATTTGAAATGACTTTTTCAATGGTCACAGCATCATTTCAGGGGTGAAATTTACTCATGTCACTTTGTTCTGTCCAGGTGGTGCGTCTTTTAAAAACATCTCCAGAGAAACCCATCACCCTAGCTATTGGGGATGGAGCCAATGATGTCAGTATGATACAGGAAGCTCACGTGGGCATAGGTAAACACTTAGCACACACACACCCACACACACAAAGTCTTAAATCATATTTTGCAGTGTGTCACATGTGTGTTTGTGTGTGTGCATGTGTCTCCAGGTATCATGGGGAAGGAGGGTCGTCAGGCCGTGAGAAACAGTGACTATGCAATTGCCAGGTTTAAGTTCCTGGCTAAACTACTGCTGGTCCACGGTCACTTCTACTATATTCGAATAGCTACGCTTGTACAGTACTTTTTCTACAAGGTAAGACTTGGCTATGATTACAAAATATTTTTCAACCTTACCTGCACAATCTTAAATGAATAGCTATAATAATCCAGTGGACTCACTCACCTTAATTTCTGAAAAGAATAGGTCTTTAGTAGCTTAACAGGTTTTCAGTGGTACATTACATTTACATTACATTACATTGAGGTATTTTTTTTTTTTTTTTTTTGGAATCTCCCTGTTACACATTCATTTATGGATTACATTCTTTATTACAGAAATTAGATTTGACATCAGCTGCTAACAAGACTTCCTTTGACCATACCTCCTTTTTCTGCAAAGTTTAATGTTTCTTTCCTTCATTCTGTCTTTTCTAGAATGTGTGTTTTATCACGCCCCAGTTTTTATACCAGTTCTTCTGTCTGTTTTCACAACAAGTAAGTCTCTTTATCGCTCCATCTCTACACTCTCTCCTATGTCATTGTGGATTTGATTGTGGTTTTAATGTCGCCCTGTCTCTCATTGACTTCATAGAATGCATTCATGAAAATACTGAAGGTTTTTTGAGATCTAGCAGTTTGATATCTAGATTGATTTAAAAAAATTTAATTTGATAGCATTTATAAGTTTCAAAAGCCTCAACATAGAGTAGAGTTTCAGTAATGACTTTTACTTAAAGCTTATCATTAAAAAAGCTTTCACATTTTGCATTTAAACTCATCAAATATTTATTTAACATAGCTTTAGAACTTATGTTAACTGATTTATCACACTATTATTAACATTAAGTCGGTTACTAAAGCTTCATCTGTTATTAAGATTACTGTGTTGGACCTAGACAAAATGATATCGGCCCTATAAATAAGATTTGTATAATATTTGACTGCGATACGGATACAGAGATACAGAGGCAGTCTATGCCACATTATAACATGTAATATCTCTAAAACATGTCTCAAGTCAGGTTAGTTTACGTCAGGTTAGATGACTTAGATATGTCAATTTAAGATAATAAGTTGGTAATAAGTGAAATGTTGTCTCTCTCCATCCTAGACTCTGTATGACAGTGTTTATCTGACACTGTACAACATCTGCTTCACCTCCCTGCCCATCCTGATCTACAGTCTGTTTGAACAGCTGGTCCATCCACACGTACTGCAGAATAAACCTGGCCTGTACAGGTACATTTACATGTAATGTGTAGGTGCACACTGTAGTTTAGTATTAACTGTTTGCGGGAAGCTGCTTTGGTCAGTTTTTATATATAGTATTTTAAAAATCAGTATGTCTTCCATAAATTCAATAACCAAGAAATCTAGTCCTAAATACTACTTCCATGCACAATGTTTGACCTGCTGTTTAGTAAAAACAGCTAATAGGAATTTTATGTAACATTTTAGATCAGATCAAAACAACATGTTTTTTATTCGGTACTATTAACTAGTTCATTACAGTAAAACATGAAATGTATTTTGATGCAGAATATCTAGAAAGATTTTTTTTTTAATGGTTGTTTCCAACAGGGACATCAGCAAGAACTCTCTGCTGTCTTTCCGGACGTTCCTGTACTGGACTCTGTTGGGCTTCTGTCACGCCTTTGTCTTCTTCTTTGGATCCTACATACTGATGGGAGAAGACACTACACTTATGGGCAATGGACAGGTGTGTCCTTGGCTGTGTGCTCATGATGTACTGTATTTATACTCTAGTAGAATCCCTAGAAAAGAAATTGACCCTGCCGAGATAATTTCCCATAGCATATTAAGAAAATGTTGCGTTTGGATTGTAGGTTAGAGGACAACAGGTGTGTGTGTGTGTGTGTGTGTGTGTGTGTGTGTGTGTGTGTGTGTGTGTGTGTGTGTGTGTGTGTGTGTGTGTGTGTGTGTGTGTGTGTGTGTGTGACTGTGTGTGTGACTGTGTGTGTGAGTGTGTGTGCATGTTATGATGAGTTATTGTTATTGATGGGGCTGGTTGCCTGCTGATCTTTCTTCAGTGACTCCTCTAAATTTTGCTCTCCTCTTATTTGTATCTTCTTCCTCATTCTGTCATTTTGTTTAATAGCCTTTTAATAGTCTCTTCGTCTCTATTACTGTGCCAGCATGTATGTCATTCACTTGTTAATGAGTAAGTTCTGGTAATCTTACCTTTTCTTCTTATCATATATTCTGTGTCTATGGTCCTTCACCAAACCTGTTTGCTGCTGCATATCTTTGCCATCTTTCTATCTGTTTGAAGTTTGGTATTTCAGAAAGCACTCACTCCTATCGCTCGCTTGTCTTTTTCTTCTATCTTTTGTTGATTACTCTTTTTTTCCTTCTGCCTTCACGCTGTGCATGTCTTCAGATCTTGCGAGCTAACAGGCAGCTGGTAAGAGTCTGCTCAACAGTCGAATGCATGTCTCCTGGGGGGGTTAATGAAAGGACTATCGAGATGATTCCTCAACACACTTTTGTCTTGCTAATGATGATGTAGAATCTATCTATGCTCTATAGAATATTTACATGTTGCCTAACCTTGGGTGCTATCCTGCACTATGAGTCACAAAACACAGATTTTGTTTTCCTTTTAAACATTGAAATAAGCAGTATGACGGCAGTTATAAAACATGCAGTGGCTCATTGAATCCTGATGATTCTGGTAAATTGTAATCAGTTTTGGTTTCTCCATTTTGTCCTGAAGTTAATTGAGTGTTCAGTTCTCAGTTTTCATGTGTCTTGATCAAATGCAGTATTAGTAACCCTCCGTTGAAACAAGTATCCATTCCAATTTTAATTTTTTTTCTAAATCACACTTACAGACTGAAAATGTAAATTCACGCATAGATGAATCATTACCTATAAACACAGAATAACAAGGCTCACTTTGTGCTTTGATTATGACAGATCTGGACGAGGTGCAAGGTTTATATATATATATATATATATATATATATATATATATATATATATATATATATATATGTATATATGTATTACCAGTGCTGTCACTAGGGTGTTGAAAGGTGGGGATAGTTAAAAAAGCCATAGCCATAAATGGCCCATGTAAACAGGTCATAACAAAGGGAGCCTTTTTATCTAGAACAATATCCCTTTGAGGGGCAGAATTGTTGTCTGCTCGCCCGAGTGTTTCTGTTGATGCATCTTAAGTCTTCTCGGTGTTGTTTTCAGCATTCAGACTCCAGCAGGGTCCTGAATTGGCAGGCAAAAAAAATTATTCCCCCCACAGCTCTCAACCTATAAGTAGAGTGATTCTCATAGCAAGAGGTGGAGCTTCCAACCGTAGTCACACAGTCGGAGGGAAGTGCCTCATATAGACTCCGAAATACCACTGAACTTGTTAACCGAGGTCGGTGCCTTGTAGAACACAGCATTGCTCACCTTGTCCCATCTGTCCTGATTCCCACCTTTAATCCAAATTCATGGTTTACTTTAACAGTTTATAGTATTATACTATGCTAGCAGCATAATCAGTAAATATCAAATACAGCAAATGTGACTGGTGTTTTGGCTTTCCATTATTCATTGCTCATTCAACTGTCTAAACAAAATGTATATTTCAATAATATGTTCTAATCTAATAGTGCTGGGTCAAAGAGGAGTAATATTATGTTAAGAAGAAATTGTAAGCTATCAAAAGTTATATAATAATAAAAAATTGTATTGACCATACAATGATCTTACAATATTGTGATATTGCCAGTAGCTGAGTCCATGCATGTAAACATAGCCACTATTTCTTTGTTTAATCGTTGTGTGTAATAATGTTGACAGTGTCCTTAACAGTTGTATGTCTGTTTTACAGATGTTTGGAAACTGGACATTTGGAACGCTGGTCTTTACAGTCATGGTCATCACTGTCACATTAAAGGTAAATTACACCAAAGCTTATGCTCTGGCAACAAATGTTATTAGCGATTATTTTAATATTTCCCATTATAATTTTTATCCCAAACATCTTATAATGCCCTCTGTTTTGTACTGTTCTGTATTTAGCAAGCTAAAGACTTCGATATTATACTCTGGAATCAGTCAGCCAAATTAAACATAAAAGGCAATTTAATATTGGGCTAAAAACCATGTTTAGGTCCACAGGGACACACTTGTATTGCCACAGTCCCAATATGAAATACAGTATGTTGTGAAGTATTAGGATGATGTCAGTGGCCATTAACAGGAGAAGATTATTTGTCACAGTTGGGGGTCAAGGTCTTTTTTTTTTTACAGCACACAGACCGATTGCTGTAGTTTATTGATGCCCTACCTGTCCATGTCTCAGTGTTTTACACCTAGCTTTATTTTCCTCCCCCTCCTGTGTCTGTGTGTCTGTGTGTCTGTGTGTGTAATGACAGCTTGCTTTAGAGACTCATTTCTGGACGTGGATGAACCATTTTGTGACATGGGGTTCGATTGCCTTCTACTTCATCTTCTCCCTCTTCTATGGAGGCATCATCTGGTAAGAAGGACATGTCTTTCCTTGTGCTTTTACCCTTAAAGAAAATGTTTTGCCAAGAAGTTACATGGAGTCTCTGCTCAATTTGGTGTGTAGGTCTAACATAACACCTCTTAAATAATTCCTACATTAACACACTCATGTCTTGATTCCACTTGGTGTGGCTCGATGACATCGCACCTGTGACGCTGTTTTATTCATACACTCCACGTGGCTTCATATCACGCTGGGAGCGTTTCTTTATTGACTTACTCAAATTTAGCTGATTTGGTAATATTTCCTTACATTTTTGTTCTTTGTAGCATAGTTAAAGGCTTTCTTTTTTGTCTGTTTTTATGATCAGCAATCTGAACCGGGTATTTTATTTTGAAATTTGACCTTTATGCCATTTCTGTGTCTGATTTTGTAGTTAGTTAGTTTGATCTGCACTGTGTAATTTAAAATTCCATTAAAAATACACCTGCTGTGTATTCTCCGTGGACCAGAGTGGAGAACTGCCTCTAGGATGCTTCTGGGACACTTCTAAAATCCCTGCTAAATAGGTGCACATACTTTATTATGAGCCCAATGCTGAGGCTTGGGTTAGGTAAATCATTGAGGCTTTGACTGAATCAGCTTTGATTATCTGGTCGTGTGTTGGATTGATCAGATCAATTTTAACCTCTTTACCGTCCAGTGAACTCATAGGCTGGCAAGAGCCCTTCCTGATATTGGACTGTAATTGATATTTGTGGTCTGACATCTGCACAGGGGATTCAATTCTGTGGTACCAGAAAATAAAATCATTCAATGAGCAAGACTCAGCCGGCCAGCGCGATCATTTACAGTGAAGAGGGCCGAGCCTGGCTGCCCACGTCTGTGCTTGTTTTGAAAGGCTTTAGCTGTGTCCCCAGCCTAAGCCAGCTCTGATACTAATTTAGGCAAAACGGTGCTGTCATTTTCACACCAAAACAAGTTGTTGATGCTTTCCACCACTGATACAAAGCATAAAAATTATGGCGTTTGCCTTTCTTCTGCAGTATGTAACCATTGTGTTCCTTCCACTCTCTCCAGGCCATTCCTCCACACCCAGGACATGTACTTTGTATTCGTTCAGCTGCTGTCCAGCGGTTCGGCCTGGTTTGCCATCATCATCATCGTCATTACCTGCCTCTTTCCTGATGTGGTGAAGAAGGTCTTCTACAGACATCTGCAGCCCACCAGCACACAAAAGAGTCAGGTAACATGGGGAGGAGGGGCAGAAAGTAAGAACATGTAATCAGAGAAGACTTCTACAGGTTGATGTCTGGGAACGTTTTTGTTAAGAAATCCAGCCATTCCTCTGAAGTGGATTATGCTTTCTTTGGTAAAAAAGTACAGGCTCTATTTCAGATTGGCTGGGATTTAAAAGGGCTCATCCAGCATTTATCTTTTTACTTCTCAGAGGTTTTCTTGCGTTTCACCTGCACCTTGCTGGCCCGACACAAAGGTGCAGTATAGTCACTCTAGTCACAGCAGTTCTCAAATCACTGTTTTAATAGTGTTTTTGTGAAACACTTTTTCTTTTACAATATTGTGCCTTTCTCCTGGATGTCCACTCTATGAATGGCAGATGTCTTGTTCTTCTCCAAAGTTGTCTTTTAGTAGTGAGTAGCATCCAATCACAAACTGTAACTTGCATTATTTTAGCTAACTGTGGCTTAGTGACCAAAGCCAAGATCACATCCTTTTTGCCAAGGCCCAATAATGATTCAAAGAAGGCTGAAAGATAGGATCAGAGAAAGTCGGGCCAGGAAAGTAAAATAAATCAATCATTGCGTAAATGTTGCAGTGGAATCAAAAAGTTTGTCTGCATTGTCAGCATATTCAGAAACATTAAGCTTATTAACTTTGTTAGCTTCTTAAATTTAAATCAATAGGACCAATTAAACAGCTGTTCATTACCACAGTTGTAAGCTAGTCATACCACTTGCCTTGTGAAGAACGCTAGACAGCAACATCTATAGTTTTGGGCTTTTCTATAAGATCTGCATGGCCAGGCTCAAACGTAAAACTCATTAAAGGTAATAAAAAGGCACAGGGAAAGCCAAACACACTCCTGTAGTTAAACTGTCTTCTGTGTGCAGTGGTAGATTTAATACTTATTCCTACTGGTATCACAAAAATGGAAATTATATTTCCTGTAATGTGACAAGAGCCTGGAGGAAGAAAACAAACTAAAATGTCACGGTAACTCAGATTCCAGCCAGAGAGAGAAAATGTTCTGTGTGTCACATTGTTTAAATAGTTCATTATTTTCTCAGCCTCTGTGGTCATGAGTTACCCACTTCTTTACAGGAACAGCATGATGTTCAGTTGCACACCCTCACGCCACATGACTTATTTATGTCCCAATACCCACAAAAACATGCACAAACACACAGTGTGCATGGTCACCTCTCAGCAGACACCTGCTGTCATTGTATTGATTTGTCCAGCTGGAGACTGTTTATGTTTCTAACTTCCTCCTTTCAAAACTTTCCTCTTGTTCTTTAGATAAAGGGAACTGCCTTTTCCAATCCTATGTGGTGTTTGTTGTTTCTGCTCTAACCTTTTTCCCGTTTTGCCTGTGTGTGTGTGTGTGTGTGTCTGTGTGCGTGTGTGATGGAGGTTCTAAAAGTGGGTTTAGTATGCTTGATATCTAACCTCTATGTGTGTTTGTTCTTCCTCCTATCCTCTCTGTGTGTTCTCCCGGAGTAGATGTATTCCAACCGTGTGGCGATAGGTGATGACTTCATCGCTCTGCAGCCTCTGTCCAGAGCCAAGAGCCAGCTGGGCAAAATTAGGTAGAGGAGATGAGACTGCTTCAGTCCTGGGCTTAAAATACATCTAAAATCAATTCAAATAAAAGGAGTATCCCAGGAGTGCTTCATTCAAAAGCAATGTTTCTATATTAGCAGTTTTTGTCAGCCATCGTTACTGGCTCCCTGCATTGATGCTGCTCCTTCGGAATTTAATTTCACTTCCATTAGTATATATCTATATCTATATTTATGTAGATATAGATATATTTCAAACATTTTAGCATATATTTTTCTACAAACCACCACACATTTTTCTTGTTTGTATGATTTCTCACCTATTTCAGAAAAGTCAACAAATCTTACATTATCTGACATTAAGGTGTTGAAATGTATGAAATCAGTGACTCAGTTAAGATATTACAGGTCTAAATTTGTACTATTCAGTAATATGTCTATTTGCATTGCATGTTCACTTTTAAAATAACATAACAGAATATGATTAGCACCACAAAAGCATGTTACATACTGTACCTTTCTTTCCTGCACCTACTTAACCAAACACAACTTTACATGATTTCCCTTGACAATTCATTGGTGGGTTTTTTCATATACTTGTTATGAAACGTTCACACTTCAGAACGTCTTAAAAAGTCTTACTTGTAGATGTTTGATGCAGAGGTTAAGATGTCGGGTTAGAATGTCATAGGCAGCATAACATGGACAGCATGTAAAAAGTATAAAACCTTGCTTTGTGATGAAAGCACTCCTGTTTATGATCGATCATGAAATACTAAAATGTTCTTTCTCCCAGGTCTGGACTTGATTTAGTCCTACTGAGGCCTGTTTCTAACACTGGCAGTACACTGCAGAGATGTGTGCTGTTAATGTTGGAGCAGTTTATTTTGTGTCATGTCTGTGACTGCATGCCCTGAACAAGCCAATCAGCATTCTCCGTGATTGGGATGGGGGGGGGGAAAATCATATTTTAGAGATAATGCATAAGAATGTGTCATCAAGCATTTCAGTCGCTGCATGTGTTGCAAGGCTGACATAAAGAATGTGTTCTGAGACCACCACCCCTCATGCCTGTTACAGCATGGTACTGTCATTACTCCGCCTCACTGCATGAACAAACCGATGAATGAATGAGCGAATGTCAGATCACCTGGGAATCCTCATTGACTTAATTTTTACTCTTCCCCCTGCACTCATTATAAATGTGCAATGTTGACATAGAGGGGACCCTAGTTTGGGTCCTAAGTCTTAATTTCTGAAGCTCTGTTCTGACCGTAAAGTCCTGCATCTGCATTTGTCCCGAATCAGCGCACCTGGTCAGACCTGCCTCCTGACCATCCGCTAGTGGTCGTACAACCACAGTCTGGCATGCAACGCTCATGTTAAAGTGAAGCATCATACAGTTGCATGGTGCAGCCCATCAAACCCTACCTTTTATCTATAACATGGTCCGCCCTCTTGACCTATGTTCAGACCAACACCCTCAAACTGGATTCACCACTTGAGACACCTTCCTCACCTCAGAGCTGTCCACCTGCATGGTTTTAGCAGACCCATAGAACAAGACTGATACCCCACCGCAACTGCATGACAGACTCTTGGACTGGTCCGGGTTGCCTTGTACAGCAGCATGAGGCTGTCCTGTCAGAAGCATGACACTGCTGTGTTATTGTCACAAATATTTTAGACTGAAGACTTGAAGATCTTGTTCTGTCATAGCAGATTTCACTATAAACAGCCTACAAGGGAATGCTAACAATAGTGTGAGCCCTTTGGTGAAGGAGAAAAACCAAAAGCCAAAAATAATTCTTGATCTTTGACAGCTCTGTGTTGACTAGTAGCATAAAAGTATCAATGTGTTAGCGTTTTAATATGTAATTGTCAAATATCATGTGGATTATCCTTCTATAGACAAAAAAATAATGAAATTGGCAGATTAATTCATAATGAATATAATTATTTCTTGCAGCCCTAGAGTGTTTTATTTCTTTACAATGCTACTGTTTGCTGCATGCTTGCTTATCTTTACAGCTTTATATACCTTACAGCTATATGGCATGTTAATTTGGATGGTTCTGTAGCTGTTGCTGGAAAATGCTACTTCATATTTAAAATAATATCCTGTGTTTACAGTTGTTTACATTACGCTTCACCAGTATACACATTGCTAAAACTAATGGAGTCTAATACAACATGCCTTAACAAAGGTTTTAATGCTTACTACTTTTTTTTTTTTAACTGTTACAGAGATGTTCATGCAACTTAATGGTCAATTTTGATGCTCAAAAACCCTTTGATTGAGCATTAGTAGATACATGGGTAAAATCAAGTGCACTAGTTTTAGCTTGTGTATCTCAAAAACTGGCAACTGAGTGTGTATTCCAAGTCACTAACAATGTAGGTAATGCAGGTCCCATCCTACAAACTCAGTGAGCAGAAACAAACTGTAGACTGACTTATCTTAAGTGTTTGTGCATTATGGTAGGACACATTATGCAAAAGAGATCCTATTTCCACAGTTTGAGTAATTTGTTTGCTGAATTGCTAGAACTACACCAGATGCTCTTACTAGGTTCAAAATCAAAGCGTGTATTCATGTTAATGTGCTGTATAATGCAATTTATTCAGTTCTGTTGAAAGAATTCCAGTATCTTTCAATCTTTTTTTTTTTTCCTAATTAGATTAGAGGGAAGTAATCACAAAAGAACCCAGGGTGCTCTCTTGGGTTTTTCGTTGTTTGCCTACTCTGTAGCTGATAGATTCAGCAGCAGGTTAATTGCTTTGGATACTAATAGATTTGCTCTTATCTATGCTAGAAGGATCCTTTTCCCTCAAGACATCTTTCTTATGCCTGCAGCTTCTTTCTGCTCATTTGTTGCTCAATTTTTCAGCTATTTCTGAGCTAACCGGCTTTCTCACCAATGTGTTCAATTGTCTCTGCTTTCGTGAGAAATTAAAGCCCTCCTCAGGTGACCTCATCACCCCACTCAAATTTTCTGAAGGACCTCTTCTCAAGCCGTGATTCATGATTATCTCCCAGTCCCAATTAAAATGAGGTTCAGATCTGTCGCAGGGGAATTAGTCCTGAGATACACATTGGTGTCACGTGTGAAAAAGCAGGAAGCAGCTGTTTTTTAAATTGCTCTGAACTCTGCTTTGTTGAAGTTTGTTGGTGATGTCATTTGTGAAGGGCTTTAAAAAGTGGACTAGCATTTATTGGATATATCAGTTGCTATCTACTGTATGTGTAAGTGTATTAGGACACTGTAGAGAGGGTCAGGAATTTGATCAACTGGCCCCCTACAGCGCGGCCTGGACTGATTCGCTGACTAACTGCCCGCTTGTTTACTAACTGACTAATTAATCTGCTGGTCGGTAAATAAGCAGCACTGGAAATCAACTGTATCTGCAGTCTTTTGGTCTTGTATTGAGTCTATAGGTTTATGAAAAAAATTAAAATAATGCCAGTGGTATGAGGTGATTTAAAATTTTGCCTAAATGAAAATCACCTGAAAAATAACATTCTAAAAATCACATATAATTGTGTTTTTCGAAATGTATATTTAGTTTTTTGCGAAAATTCCTAAAATGGTAAACAGGGAAACTACATTTAAACTTCATAAAGACTTCATATGAGACAAAATGACTAATGTAGATATTTTTGCAGTGCAATTGGTTAGTTATCAGGCTGGCTTTACTGGTTATGTTGCCATGTTGTGTACTTGGCTGACTGATGAGCTGTTTGACTAGCCAGCGGGGCTCACTGTAAGCATCTTGTGTCCTTCAGATGGAAGAGGGTGAGGGTTCAGTCGGCCCAGAATATGACCCTGTTAAAGCCCAGCGGAGCCCAGGGGAGGACAATTGGCACCTGCTAGCTGCTTATCCTCCCCCTGCTGCCCCCGGCCCAGACCCCTGCTCCCCTAGGTAGTACCATACTTCACTCCCATTGTCCCCCTCGTACTGTCAATGCCCCAGCATTTTGGCTTCACCTGAGGATCAGCCAATCCTGTGCACCTCCCTGACAGCTTCAGTCACATATGCCCTTGTATTTGGTTAAAGCAGCCTGCACCTTCAGTCATTCACCCATGGCTGTACACAGCTGCCCCTGCACTTCCCTTCATATGTAAAAAGACTATTCCTGTTTGTCTCCCTGTTGGTCCCACTTATATATATATATGAATGACCCCATCCCCTCCCAACTCCATCCATCCCTACCCTCCAATGAATAACCTCATCATTCCCTACACCTGTATGACTGAACCCGTCTTCCCTTACCCAATCATGATTGTCCCCATCTTTTCCTTTTCCGGTCTCAATTCAACGCACACTGTTATTGATCAGATCTGGGTTCAGAGTTTAGAGAGAGAGAATGCTGTTGGCATGCTGACTTCATTGTCTTTGCTGTAGTTTTGTTTAACCATCTAATTCCGCCATACTCAATAATAATACTCCATATTGAAGGCTGAATAATATATCACAGTCTGCTTGTAAGTATTTAATATCTCATATAATCCCTTTTTGTGTTTGAAGTACAATTTGAAGTTATTTTCTCTTTTGTTCAATGATTTAAGGCTTTCAGTGTTTTGTGTACTTTGTAAGCACCATATGTCACACTATAAACCCAAGATCATTACATTTTCTTACGCTAAAAGATCATGCCAAAGATACAACATGATATTGTGCTAAAAGGACAGCGACATCTCAACTTCAGCTGAACTCTGTAGCTATCTAATTTAGTGAATCAGCCAGGTCATGATGTCACCCATATAGCTGTCACTGAAGCCTTGGTCCTTTTACGACAAAACCCTCAATCCGGGCATCGTTTTCTCGGAAAACCTCATTTTACAAGAGAACTGTTAATAATACGTTTGGGCTGGTTTTATTGCGGGCATCGTGTTGCTGCTGCTTCTCCAGAACTAAAAAATTGCTTGCACCAAACAGTTCCTTGGAAATTTCTTGTTCATCTTCCTTAAAAACAACACTTTCTTAAAGTTTTATTGTAACATGACATGCCAAACTGCAGGATCTCAACTTCAAGCCGTCCATTGCTTCTGATTTACAAGCCCTGTGATGACTGATTGCTGCTTCACAAATTGATACAATTGGTTACTGGTAGATGAATTCGAGCATTATCAGTCATCTTAGAGTTAATGAAAAGCGGACAGTTTTTATCACCCATGGTTATACCAACATATATACACCAAGGACACTTCACAAACAGATAAACAGTGGTCTAGGATACATTACCATCCATGGCTACAACTGTGTCTTGGCCGCTGTCAGTGCATTTACTGTGGTTTGGACTGCATTTCTGTTTGGAATAATCACAATCTCCAACCTTAATTTTTCTTTTTGCTATGGCAGCTGACTGTTGTATTACAGAAACAAGAACAAAAGCAGTATGTTCTCATAGAGGAAGAGCGACACCATGCATTTATTATCCAGGCACACCTGGCACTGCCAGGATTAATCATATTCAGTTTGTCCTGTCTGTGTTTTGCTGTTGCCAGCCAAGAAGCAGAAGTTTGGTTTCATGCCAACAGTCAGTCTCCAATTTCTGCCGCAGAGAAATTTAACAACAGCAACATCACAATCAAAAGCACTGAGGAATACACAGGTCACACATTCAGCTAAAAAAGGTCAGATATTTCTAAACCATAACCAAGCATCTTAATGTTTACATAGCTCTTCATTTGCTAAAAGAAACTGGAGATTTTAAAACTTTTCGTAGTTCAATTGTTGCTGTAGCCCAGAGTTGAATTTTAATCTTAAGAATTAGTAAATTGATCTATGGACTTATAAGAACCAGGTAGGTCACTAAAGCTAGCTGAGGTTAATCTGTAATTATGTTTTCCTGTTATGCTCTAGAACAGGAGGGTAAAGGATGCAAACTACCCGAGTGTAACCTCATACTCTGTATCCTCTTGGTCTCTCTGCTCTTCACTTTCTCTCTTTTACATTGCACACTCTCTCTCTCTCTCGGCTGCTGACTCAGAGCACAGAGACAGAACAGAGCTACCTGATCCTGCAGGTTTCTAGGCAGCAACTTCATTCAGCTTTCCCTACCAATGCATCACTAGCTCATTGAAAAGTTTGATTAGTCATAAAGTATATGTCTTATTATTTAGACAGTGAGAGGTTTCTTTGCACTGCAGGTCAACTTTTACATTAATACAGAAAGGGTTTTGTAGTTTTATACTGGTATGAAATAAACTGGATGGATGATGATGACACCGTCTTGTTTCTTACTATGTACATTTAATCACGCTGGTGATTTCACTACTTATGTCAAAACAGAAGTAGGCTGGATGTCCCAGATCTTTGATTGGACTTTCCACTATTAGAAACCTCGAATAAAGCCATTGTAGAAACTCACGTTTAACATCCTTTCTTTGCAAGAACTCCAAAATATACTGCAGAACATTTTGATTTAAAAGTTTGGGCTTTTTCATCTGTTTTCTCAAAGATTTCTTTACAGGTTTTATGATTTCCATATTTATTTGCAACATTTCCGCCCTTTGTGTGGCATGTTTTGAATGTTTTCCCTGTATATCATTGTTCCTGTGACAGCATGCCATATGTCATCTTCCAGTCATCCATCATCCTGTCAGAATGTGACAGCAAACGTGTATTGTGTTGGTATTCATTTCTTCTCTTTTCTCCTCTTTCTCCACTCACTTCTTTTCTTCTCTTTTCTTTTGTCCTCCTTTCTTTGTCATTTTTTTCTTACCCCCACTCTACCACTCTCCAACATTTCACTTCACCCTCTCCTTCTGCTCTTTCTCTGCCTCTCTGCCCTTTCACATTCTTTCTCCTGCCTCCAGTCTTTATCAGCCACCCAGGCGCAGGCCCTCAGCTGTGTGGAGTCCCTGTGCTGCTACCAACATGGGCAGAGCGGCTGTTCCCGCCTGGCCCGCCTCCTGGAGCAAATGACCGGGCAGTGCCAGTCCAGCGCCAACCATTGTCACACATCCAACCGCAGCAACAGGTGGGGAGGACGGCGACAGCAGGAAACTATGATTATGAATCCTGATGAACCCTCACCACCTCTTGGTTTCAAAAATTTGGGCTGCACTCCCGAGTATTTTAGCCCTTAATGTGGCTACAACCGTACTGTAAGTCTTCAGATTTGTAGTTGAGCATACAGTTGTGGTGGAGCAGGGTTTCAGACAGTCAAAGTGACTGGTTTTAGGGTACAGCTTAGCATAAATTTGGGACAGCAGCCCAAACGAGGAGTTCTGCACTCAGCAACTGTGCTATTGAGTTTCTTATTTCCATAAAAGTGTGTGTTGGGAGGGTCTGGAATCAGACCATTTTGATTTACTGGGAAGAAAGGTGTGCTTAATCTCATATCCACAGTAGTGTACTATCAGAAATATATCAGTACACCTTGTAACCAAAATCATAGAGACCAATGACTGAATAGATTGTGATGGCCATACTTTCCACATAGCATGCACACGTGGATGTTTGGCTGTTTAGCCAGGGTGAATTTGGATTCCAGCATTTTTATTACGGCCCCCACAGTAGAGACCTGCTGCGATATACAAGCACCTAACAGGTCTCAATATTACACCACGTAACCTGTCTTGTCTAGCCCCTACATTAGGGCGGGTCTGTTTGTTAGCCCATGTGTCTTTGTCCTAATCATCTATGCTATGATCTGTTGTTCTGTCTTTCCTCTCTGTCTCCTCTGTTTCTGTTCAACACTCCCTTAAAATCAAAGGTTGGTTTCCAAATTAGCCTAATTAGCCTGATTAGCCAGTTTTCAAGGAAAACTGCCTAACCTGTAATGCACTTTAACAGATGTCTATATGTCAGTTATTAAGTTGACTTATTAGCTTTAAGTTGACTCCTATATTGTTCAGTAGGTCCTCCTGTTCATTGGAGGGTTTCTCCACTTGAGATGAGAGGCCTGATAATGCTTAGCTGGTCAAATCATATGTGATCCGAACACCAAATCTGGGTGTGAACATCTCTAGTATGAACCTTTGAATGAAGAGATGTGAAAGTGCTTCATAAGTGACGGGTTGTGGTGACTTAACTTTAAAGCTGCACTTGGCAATATTGCATTTTGGTGGCCCTAAGTTGCAGAGAGAGGTATAAATAATGAAACATGATGTCAGTTTACTGTACAAAGTGAGCCCTCAGTAAGTGCAGCTAAAACTGCCTTCTGTTGTGCTGCTTTACTTTGTGATAAAGGATGATAAAGCATCGACAACTTGATTTTTATTTTATTTTTTCGATAAAAAGTTTTTTGCCTAGTGCAGCTTTAAAAACAAGTGAGCTGAGTTCACATTTTGCTGGACTGCCCAATCTGCAGTTTCAGTGTTATTGTGTCTTTTTAACCTGAATCCCAGTGACTCAGTGGGGTCATTGATTAATCGATCTAATCGGCCCTTTCTGCTGAGCAATCAATACTCCTCAAAACAACTTGGGACACTAAGTATTGATTTCATCAGTAATGAAGATGTAGCATTCTTGTTCTTTGTGTGTGAGTCTTTTGCAGTGGACCTGGCACAGAGTCGGGTGGTGTCGGCACGCATGTTTGTTCGTTCATGACTGTATGTGTGTTGTAAAGGTAATGACAGCATGTTGGTCAAATAAGAGATGCACTGTTCCTCCCCGCCCTCCCTTCAGCCCCTCTGGACAGCATCCTCTCTGTGGTCGAGTAGAGGACCGGGTCATCCCAGTCAGTCAGGCCTGGGGGATACGGCAGACTTATGAGCTTTCTTGTATTAGTGACATAAAATTGTGACTGGCTATAACAACATCTTCTTGTAACAAATGATATTCTGTGCCAGGCCTGTATTCAAATAAGGAACATCTTAGGCATCATCTGATCATTTTAAACTTTGATACAGCCAGTCAGGAGCATAAAATAGATCCTACATTTTAATATTTAAACCTTTCATCAACACTTAGACAGTGCTGGGTTTGATATGCACCATTAAATAATCTATTTCAATTGTTGTCAGGGTCACTGGAAGAAAGGAAACTCTTCCCATGCTTCGGGCTCAAATTACCACTAAATGTTTGATTCAATTTAGATTAATCTCTTCCTGTGGGAATGATTGATTTGTTTTCTGACCTTGGCACGAAGCAGCCGATTGGATTCTTCCAACTGAGCAAACGGCAGCCAATTTTTACCCCCAAAAGCATAAACATAAACAATGAACATAAGTAAAATGCTCTGCTGTGGTCTGCTTTATACTGAAAAAACGAAAAGAACACAATCAACTATTAAAATTGGGGACAAATTGTTTTCAACATATCTTCATCCGTCCCTCCCCTCCCTCCTTCTCTACCTTCTGAGTTTGAGGAAATAAAGCAGAAAACCACAAAGAATGAATGAAAGACTAGTGAGACTCAGCCCACATTTGGCCTTAATGCTACAATACTGCCATAGGGGAAAGGGAATATATCCACCCAGTCCTATATAACATGCTTAATGACTGGAAGGGACATATAGCAAGCATATTTAAAAACATATATAATATAATATATAATATATAAGTATTTATCTGTTATATATTCGAAGCCCAACTGTAGCTGGCTGCTTGACTTGGCTGGCAGTCGTTGAATGTTGGCCAGAGCTAAATCACGGCTAGAGGCGACAAAGCAGGAACGGACACGGATGTCAGGAGTCAAAGATGTTTTTCATAATGAGCGAGATACACACGCCTGTGTGTAGTTGTCAAATCCCGGCGGCTGCGTCTCCATCCAAATGTCAAACAAATTTTAGCGAGACCTTTAAATGTGAAGAAATAAAAAATAAAGTGCAGATGAGGAAGGATGTTCTATTGGCATTTCCAAAACGCTTTCTTGAACATGTGAAAACATAAACTAAAGAAATGTACTTGGTATTATTTGAATGCACCAATTAACATGCATATATCGTGTTGTGCAACAAAAGTGAACCATCCTACCTGATTGTTTCATCATCAAATGTAATTCGAAAAACCAGTTGGTTGGAAATTTGATTAAAAGTTGCACCATCTATTCATCTTTTATAACTTAATGCATTATAATTTGGAAAAATAATTCTTGGATGGAAACTCAGCTTCTGTCTGACACCCCTTGCTCCTCCTCCTCTTCCTCCTCTCCCCTAGAACTAGGGGACCACACCCTAAACCAGAGAGGCTGCTGGAAAATGTAGTCTCAGAGAGTCTTTTTTGCTACTTCCTGTATCTATTAGTCTTTTTCTACTGGATCCTGAAGCCTTATATGTGCTTCTGAGAAGAGGCCAACTTTGAGGGCATGCTCGTTTTATAACCAGGGGTGCTCCTGGTGGGTGGAGTTTACCTTCTCCACAAGTTTATATTCGAGTATATAACTCCACCTGTCTTGTCCACTACCGGCTACAAAACAAGAATGCCCCAGACTCTGTCTTGTTGCATGGGGGCTGCTGTTGCCTTTGGTACTTTGTATACAATGTAAACCTGTATGTATTCGTGCCCCCTCACACACTCCTCCTCTCACACTTGTCTTTTTCTGTCTTCTGTGTCCCTCTGTGTCTCTCTGTGTCCTCGTCCTTCTGTGTCTGAAATCTGCATAATGTTGTTCCAGATTAATTATTCATGTGCTGTTAATGTCCCCCGTGAGCTTCGTCTTGTCAGAAATCTGCCTGTTCCGTTCTTTTATTGGATTCATGTTCCCAGCGGCCTATCCCGACAATGTTTTTGGTGCTAACGTCCTCTTTGTTCTGTCGTAACCCGGGGAGCAAAGATGGTTTTAGCACTGAGATGTTTGAGTTTGACCCCAGCCCTGGTAGACAGCCGAGCTGGTGATGTAGCACGTGAGAGTGCCTCCAGTCAAACCACTATTTGAGTCATCAGCCTATTTAAAGTCCCTGGGTTGGCCCTGTTTTCCTGTTCACCAGGTCTTAAAACGGTTGTCTTTATCTCAGAGAGCAGCGGTAAGGGTCACAAGTAGAGCAGCTGACATTTAGAAATATCATAAGAAATATGTGACGACGTGGATGGACAGGCACAGTGATTGAGGTGAAGAATATTTGCAGTCTTCCTCTCGTCGCATATTCAGCCACAAAGCTATTCAGCGTGCAAAAGCTGCACCCACATTTCTGGCTTTCCTCGTGCTGTCATGTGAAGATCAGGTGTAGCAGCCAGAATGGAAGCGCTGTTTGAACTCAGAGGATGTTGAACCGCAGTTGCTTTGTTTCCTCCCTGCTGGTGCTTTGAGGCAAGAAGCTCTGATCGCTGACTACTTTGATGTGAGTCAGCGTGGCGGTGGTTGGTTTTGTTGTGACCTTTTACGATTCCAACTGTGGCGATCTGTGACTTTCATGATGCATCCGTGTTTTGTTTTCTTTGTGTTATCCAGGCAAATCACTGGCCATTTGGTTTGAAAAGGTTCTGAATGATCTACAAATGGATGCGATTGTGTACTAGATCAGTCTTTGTTAAGACACTTCCAAAGGAGATCCAGCTTGCTAAGCTAATAACAGAACGGGACTCTAATAGAAATATAAAGTATAGCATAGATTTTATACCAGATGCATATATGTTTACTCTTGTGGGAGATAGTATGATACCTATTTTTCTAGTAAAAAAGTGAAGATATTAGGATGTTATTATTCATATATATAAGGATGTATATTTTACCTGCAGAAAATCCGATACTAGTCCTGGTTATCTTGAGAGTGGATATGTGAGGCATGAATGTTGATGATGCTTGTTTATCATGATTTATTTTCTCTTTATGATGACAATATTTATTTTGATCCATGAGTTGAGTAGCTCAAGTCTCACCTCCTCCCTCCACGAAGAATAAACCAGAGGCCGGTCATGTGAACAACCAGCACAAAGAAATGTAATGGGATAGATTCGTGTTTTAAGAAGCATTTGCAGCAAAGAACCTTTACCATCATTTTTGAAGCGTGAGATCAGAGACGTGCAGTGTTTAAGGGCTAATGAGGTGTCTCTGAGCAGCTTTTTTTTAATCCCAACCTTGAGAGCGTCTCAGCACCAAAGCCTTTGCATCATTTGCATTTCCAAGCACTCGGCTCGAGTCCACACTGCTGCTCTTTCCATTAATGAAGCAGCATTGCAGTGGATATACCTAGTTTTTGTTTGATCCAGGGTATCAGCAGGTCCTCAGGCTGCAAATTTTAAGGCCTTAGTGCAGTAATTAGTGACCATATTTTGTATAGTGCGCTCATGTGTTTTCTTTGTTCTGTATATACTCTTAAAGTTTAATACATAACAGCATTGGTAGTACAGTGTCCTTGCACCTGCTTTACTGAACACAGATGGACGTCAGTGCCCCTCAAACTTATTATCCCGCTGTACTTTTTCCTCATATTCCAGTTTAGGTGTTTTAAAAAAATAAAAACTCAAAAACTCAGCTAATCTGCTTCATCACGACTGTGTGGGTGTAGTCTCATCACCACAACTTCAATTACATTTGAATTTAAATGTTGCTTATCTCTTATAAATAGAGATACCCTTTTCAACTGAGTCCCACCCTCTTCAAACCAGTGAAAAAAGCAGGCTAGAAAAAGGAAATAAAATAACCAAATCTTTTCTAACTTTGGCAAACAATAGTGAGTTCTTGTCGGAACCCATTGCTGATTGAAAATATGTTTTCGGGGTCTTAAAATTGAATTTTCTGGGACTGACCCTACCTAAATAGACCTGGGTTAGTGAGAGTTAACGAGGAGAGACTTTTGATACTCATCACTAACACCATCACACCCATTACTAACGCTTCACTCTTCCATCCCTCACTCTCTTCCGCTTCTGCCAGCCCTGATGGTGTGACATTGTAATCGCAAACCTATGAACGACAGTGTGTTAGCCAGTGATAGCCGAGAGGCCCCACCCACCACCATACACGCACACACACACACACACACACACACACACAATTACACATACACACACGTTCACTGCGTCAGTCTCCTAACCCTTAGTCACTGCTGCCTGTTTTCAGGTCTTGGAGCGACACAGAGAACTTCTACTCCAACGATCGCACCATCCTGACGCTGTCGCCCATCGAGGCCACGCACTGCTGACTCCCAGGGCCACTGCCTGTAACACACAAGAGTTTGGGGAGAGCTACTGCTCCGCTATGAGTCATAATCACGCCCCCACCCCTCTTGCCACCATTTTATAACCCCCTACTTCAGTTTAAAGTCGCAGACTGGAGCCGTCGCTATATGTGAAACCAAAGGACTCGTGCAGCAAGCTGCTTTATCCTTCACCAGTTTGTTTCCCCGAAAGAATCCATTCTTAGTAGAAAGGTTGAGAAGGACGTCAGATGGGAGCTGAAACGTGGAATTGTGGAGCAAGTCAGTGTGGCATGAAGCAGACATCTGCGGAGCTACTCCTGCAGGAAGATCTGCCCATAATCTGAGCAGCAACATCACATTCCTGCTGTTTACAGGGGATCTGCAAGTCCTGCAAAAGCATCGGAAAACACCATACGTAAATTCTGTACCTGTTTAATAGTTAAAGATGTGTCAGCTCTCTGAGATCAGCACAGGTACATGAACTCTCATGCAGCTATTTATTATTCATTTTAAGTACAGTTGCTAAACTTATTTTTTTCTTGCGACGGTCATCAAAATGAGCTTCTACTGCAAGTCTTATTTGTAGACACAGAATGGGGATTCCTGATGATCTGGACTTTTTGCTACAATATAATCTAATGTCAGGCATCAGTCACGCTCGAGGCATTGCAGCATAAGGACTGTGACCTACCTGAGCAGGTTCTGACATGCTTGTAGACACCAGCTTTCCAGATCGTCCGTGTAGCACCAGGACAGAAGCTCCGCAAACTACATTAGAGGAAACCTCAGAGGTGTAGCTGCTAGCTGCAATTCCCAACTTCATATTGCTTCCATAAACAGCTACAATGACTTCCTCTTTGAGCTGTTGGCCCTTCGCTGCACCATTGTTTCTCTTTCAGATGGAAAGGGGAAAGAGCTATACCACCCTCAGTCCTGTAGCATTCAGAGCCTGGCTGGCCCTAACTGCTAGACTTGTCTCCCTCAGACCTACAGTACAGACCTACGATACTTTGCAAGGAGATTTATCTCTGCAGTGGAACCAAAGACCAAAGGATTCAGACTGGAGTTTAAAAGATGAAGTGTTTATTTTTGTGCCTGATTGTACAGAAGCTTATATTGTTCAGAAGACTATTATTGTTCGTGCTGCTTTCTCGTCTGACTGTTCAGGCCTCTGTCTCCCCCCCCCGGCGCTTTTGCCCTGAAGGAGGCCTGATGGGGTCTGTTTAAAAAGCCATACATTTTCAAGAGGTTATATTATTGATAGATTATCGAAGGTACCGCAGATAGAAGCTGTTTGAGCCTGTTGTTGTTTCTGTGTTCCCCTTAAATGCCTTTTCTCATTCAGCCCGGTTAACAAAGGCATCTCAGCATTGAAGGCCACGATGCTCTGGGAATATTTTTTTTAAGGTAAAGTTTTTATAACACACAGGAGGTAGAATCATCCCTCTTGGTTTGCTTGAAAATATTTCCCCGAGTATCGGATCAGAAAATGGTACCATTTGGCTTTAATGGTGAGATGTTTTTCGGAACCGCAGCTGATACACGTCGACCCAGACGGCGGAATGTCTCTATCTTTAGAGAGATAGATATCAGATAAATAGAATTCAGCTTCAGTAACGATGCAGAGCGTTTGCACAAGTCACATATCAAAATCACATTTTTGTTGTTTTTCTCAAATCATTGCTTGTTTCTCACCATTGAAATCATCTCATGTTTTTGCTGTTACGTTGTTCTTACCACATGTTGATGAAGTGTGTGTGTGTGTGTGTGTGTGTGCGCGGGGAAGTGTTGGTGTGTTTCTTGTGTGGCAGCCATGTCGAAGGAGGTACGGTAGCCTTGTTGTAAGCTCTTGCACGATCTCAGCGGCCACATGCTGCCTGCAGGTCAAAGGTCAAGGTTTGTTCCTCTCTTTGTCCCAAAAAGGAAAAAAAATGTAAATGAGGAAAAGCTCGACAGTTCTTATTTTTTAGCAGAGTTCAGTTGAGTTGAGTGTAATGTAGGAACCTTTCAAGACAACCGTTTTAAACTTGACATCAACAGCCACACAACAATGACCGGTACATGCCTCGGCTCACACAGGGAATATAGGATGTTTGTGTCGCTACAGTAACTGTTCAGAGACATTTAGGTGTTCCTCAGCAGCTCCAAATCAGAGGGTCAATAATGTTTTCGTCAGTCAGTTCATTGAATATTCTATTTTCTATAAGGTACACGTTTGATGCATAATCGGGCCTGTTATATCCTTTCTGTTCATACAGGTGGCAAAGTGTCTATTTATTATCGCAGTACTTTTTTGTTTCCTGTGTTTTTGTTGAGCCTTTTCTTACATATCAATATATATATATGTGCGTGTCCTGTTCATGGCCTGAATGCAGCAACTTCCCAGGATGTTTTACTTGATCTTAGAGATGTAATCAGGAGGTTGAACCTCCATCGAAGCTATTTTTGTTTGACCTGAAAGGTGACAGCGTAGCTGGGAAGCTGTCAGCTGCAAACCTGAATGTTAGTTTGTTACAGGACATTTAAAAGGACACTTGGGAACTTCCAGTTAGATCACTCCATCCAAAAACCCAACAGTTCTTTTTAACCATTTGAGCTCATATATACTATTAAAATGTCTACCTGGATACACCTGTGATACCTGCAATCTGTACCTGGATTAGGAAAAATAATGCTGTTTAAACAGTTCACCAGTTTTATACATAAAATGTCAGTTTAGCTATCATAGGATCACTACCCAGCATGTGAAAACAGTTGTGTAATGTCCTCTGTGGCTCTGAAGGGAGCTCAGAAATCCACCCTGATGTCCTCTTGAGTTAGAGTTGAAACTTGTAAAACTAGGGGCATGGGGTTGGAGGGTCCAGTATCTTTGGAGCTTCAAACGAGAGGCTTAAATTCAGGATATCTTGGCCTCTGCTGCATTAATGTTGACCATTCTTTTTTTCTATGGAACTTTATGGAAATGCAATACTAAATCTAAGAGTACCCCTTTAAAGGGCACATTTGATGCAGCAGAGGCAGAGATGTCCTGACTCAAGCACCGGATCCTGCAAGCATCCAGCATCTGTCCAACTCCACACAAGTCATAAGCGCAAGCTGCGATAACAGAGTTAACTTAGAAAAGCTCCTCCAGAGCACAAAAGTAGAAAATAGCATACAACTGTTTTCACAGAAGAAGCAGTCCTGCCTTATGACAACTAAATGTTTCCAACATTGATGCATACAAACAGCAAACATGCAAAACCACATGCAAAGCTGATCAGAATTGTGTGAAAAGATAATCGTCAACTTAATGTCAGAGTGTGAATTCCACTGAAGGTCAGTAGTTGACATTATTGAATCATCCCCCAGCCCTGGAGGTGTCAGAGTCAGCCACGATCAAGTGTACAATATTCACGCAGGGAGTTACAAACCTAAAACTGGACATTCCTCCTGTCTGGGATAAGCATTAAACTCTGTGTTCAGGGGGGATTTAGGGGAATCAGAGCTGTGACCCTGCAGAGTTATTACATGATATCAGAGCAGATGGCAGAGGAGGGAAGACGAGTCCTCCCTGACCAAAGGCAAATAAGGCAGCAATGTGCAGAAACACCTACAGTGTTAGAGTAGTTCTGATGCCCCCTTGTGCTCACCTACGGAAACCCAAAGTTTTCAAAATGAAACCATGATGATATAAATAGGTGTGTCCTATTAACAGGGATGTACAAATAAATGATAGTGATGTATGATTGACAGAGAGTTGGTGATAAAGAGCAGCATTATAATGAAATAAAAATGACCTGCAATAAAACACTTACTGTGAAAAGAAGCAAGATGAAGTAGTTTTAAAAATTTAATGGACAATTTCTTGGTTATATATTTCTCATTTGGACACTTTGGGTCTCTCATTCACCTCTATTGAGAGTGGAAACAAAGGCACCATCCAGTCTCTGTTATCATCCAAAGCAGACAACCAGAATACGTGTAAATGCAGTTATGTAACTGTATTTTATCAAGACTGTATATCCAGGTACAGATTTTATATATAGAGAGAGAAGTTCATTAGAATTGGGGCCCAAGTGGCGCTCGAGCGATATCCTTACTGCTGTTTATGCAGAAAACAGAAGCTATATTTTTCTAAGATCATATCAGATGTGAAATTAACCAAGATGTGATTCTCCGAAGCATCACAGCGCTGACGTCATCCAGTCTTCATCACGAGAGCGCAGTGGGGTTCAAACACGAGGCCTCGGGTACTTCTAGAAGCAGGAGATTGCTCAGCCGGATCACTTTTATAAATGGTAGTTTAATATTTTATCAAGGCTCGACTAACAGATGATGATCATGTCATCCATCTGAAAGCCTCCCCCGTCCACGTTTAATTGGATTCCTTATTAAAGACGCCAAGAGCTGTTCAATTCTGTCATCGGGCGTGGTTTTAAACCAGATATTCCTGCTTCTGGAAATATAGGCCATAAATGTCACATGTGTAAAGAGCAGCATTAGCGGTACAGCCATGTGCGTCCTTCCCTCGAGGAACTTAACAATCTGTCTCTTTCGTTTAGTCTTTATAAATACAAATGATATCATTGGCAGTGACCAGACCTACTGTCTGTGATATTAGTCTTCAGAAATGATCCTAAACTATTCAATTTAAGTTTTTATGGTCATTGGGAAATTTTATTAAGGGTCGAACAAAATCTAGCACTGTCGGGAAGTTTTGTAGGAACAGAAGTTTTGAACTGAAAACCTGGTGACGTCAGTGCAGAGATGCTCTCGGAAAACTCAGCCACGGTTTACAGACACGAATCAAATTAAGGTTTCCTTGATCAAATCAGCTAAAAAGAGGAGTCTGAATTAAAATGTCAAGCGACCAGTTTTCTGCAGCGAAGCGTCCTGTGACTCAGCACCAGCCAGCGCAACACAAGGCTGCAGATCATGTCAGTGCTGAACAGTTTGTGGAAATCATTTTTAATCTCATCGATAAATCGTGCTGCACCAGACGATTAATAAACCACCATCATCACTCTTCGGTCTGATATCTGTTGATGTGTCTGTCTGTCTGTCTGTCCTCCCTCCTCCTCTCTGTAAATCTGTCTTATAGCTGATGTTTATGAAGATGCGGTTCTATTTACGAAATAAATAAATTTTTAAGAAATGTGTCTTTGGTGTGGAACTTCGTTTGAATGCGCTGTTACAAAAGCAGACGTTAACTGAGCAGAACCAAAGAGAACGACAGCAGAGCGGAGCGGCTCACGACTGATAAACAGCTCGGGAGAAATCTCCATGTAGTTAATGAAGGAGAGAGCGAACACAATTAAGACTGTGTGTCAGGCAGATAGCAATTAATGCAATAAACTCAGATTCACTCTTACATGACGATCTGAAGGGCTGCTCAATTACAGAGTACAAAGTTCAATTAAAAAGTTCATTCTGACTCACAAGCTGGCAGTTTGCACAGCTACTGATATAAAAGCACACAAATAGGACAATGCAGCAGTCAGTAAAGTAACTGGGGAAAATAAAAAAGGCAGTTTCATGGAAAACCAATGATCTACATGGGTGTAAGTTTTATGCTGTATTGGAAGTGTTTTTTAATCAGTATTCCTCAGTTTTACAAGAGAAAGGACTTCAGTTACTCTGATTAGACCTCCTCCACGTTGAGGTGGGGGAGTGGAGGGTGAGGGAGATGTCATTCAGTCCAACACAGACATGAGAAGAAGTCTAAATCAGCCAAAATAACACTTAAAAAAAAAATTGTATTACACTAAGCAATCCATCAAACACTTCATCAAATATGACATGGGGCTTTGCATGTTTTTATTATTTTTATTACAGTATCTTACCATTAAGATACCTTATATCATTTAAAAAACACAAACAAATCATCTGTCAAACATCTACAAAATGAACACAGGTGTTTATTACTTTTAGTCTACAAGGCCTCATAACACACCAGTTAGTAAGGAAAGCAGGAGATCAGCAGAAACGGGTCAATTTCACGTGTCGTCTGCGAGTTAAATCAGTTGTGCTGATGGCGGATTTACACAGAAACAAACCATCTGTCTGTTTAAAGCCCCCCCTGACCGACATTTCATCCTTTACGGGTTATTTTAAAATCAAAGCCGAGTCCGGTCGTGAAAGTCATTTACTAATTCTGGAGTGTTTTTCTGCCTCCCAGATTTAAAGGCCTGTCTCTTAAGTGCAATGTTGTGGTGTCCTCCACATTGAGCTTACAGCCGACCTCTGCGGTTTTATGGAGTTTGGAGTCAGTCTGGAAGGACACGATTGTACATTTTGAAAAACTGGAAATCAACAAACCCCAATATAATCTATTACCACAGCAGTAATAAGTTCAGCCTCTTTTCTCTAATGCCCACTGTGTCCAGTAAAAATCACGGTGCGGCTTCCAAGTGTCCATTTTTGTCTCGCTTTAAGCTTAGTGACAATGCATTATTAAATACTGAGAGCTTTTATGATATTTACAAGTGGTAGGGCAGTTTTCTTAACTCATAAAGGAGCCACATTATCACACATGGCTCTTATCGGACCGTGACTCGGTCAATAACTCCATGACCCTTTTCCACAAACAACCAGTTTAAAAGCATTACAAGTTGATTTTAAGGTCATGTAAATGTGAAGTTGTCCTCCTCCGTCATCAGTAACTATTCCTAAAGCCCGCTATGGCATAATTCTGCAAGTATTTAGTCTGATTTTTCACTTGCCATCCCACCTACTTTATTTATTATTATTTATTCATCTTCTGCCTCAGATATGCGTACACTGTTTGACAAGCGGGTGTCAATCTCGTCAGTGCGAAAGGGTACTGATGAAGAGAATACCAACTCTTATACTAACACAACACCACTGACAGAAACCCGTACAGAGGGGAGATTTGAGGGAAGAGCAAAACGATTCAGATTCACTGATTACTGCAAACATACAAACAAAGAAAAAAAGAAAAGAACAGAAACACTCAAAAGTTCTACGATCAAAATAAAGGTAATCTTCTGATGTGTAAAAGGCAACTGTACATGAGAGATTTTTGCTATGAACCTTTTCACTGCTGTCAAACCGGGTAACATTTCAGGTCAGTGTAACCGCTTTTGACAACCCTAAATGCATTGTGGGTCCCCGGGATGAAAGTTGTTGTCTCATCCATTCCAGACTGAACCAAACTCCCTCCCAACTGATGATTCAGGTCCTGACTTTAAGAAATATCAATCATGTGCTGGCTCGACACCGCCCTCGTTCCTATCGGCTCGCTTTCTCTCCAGTTGTCACAGTAACTAGTTCCGGCTCTCTCCTACCTGTCAGTGTGTATTTGTGGATGTGGTTGTGTGTTTGAGTCTGTCTACTGGCTGCTCCCCTCCCCTTCCTCCGCCTCCTCCTCCTCTTCCAGTTCCACCAGAGGAGCGTGGCGATTGGCCTGCGAGCCCTCGCTGAAGAAAACCTTCTTGATCACACCGGACTTGGGCGCCCGGATCGTGTGCTGCGGATACGAAAACAAACAGCGTTACAAAGAGCGCGCCTGCGATACGTGAAGGCGAGAATGTGTGTCGGGCGGCAGGAGGCGCTCACCTCCATCTTCATGGCGATCATGACCATCAGCGGGTCTCCTACAGCCACTTTGTCTCCGGCCTTCACCAGCACCTGAACACAATACAGATTATTATTATTATTATTATTATTTGTATGGACATCTCAAAGAAGCAGACCCATAATGCACCTCAAAGATAATGAAGGAATTAGCTTTTTATTTGACTGGATTGCTGTAATTCTCTTTTACAATTTGTGAAACCATCTTTAAATTCTTTGCAGTCAGTCTGCTCTTATCAGTCTCCTTACACTGGCTGCTGGTTCACTTTAGTCGTAAGTAATAATAATACACTCAGAGGTGTACCCATAAATAAAAATAATAGAGCAGGTGGAGGAATAGATTTGTATTTTTTCCCCCCCTATATTACAGTGCTCATATTAGAGCTACTTACAACAACCGTTTCACCAGTGAGTTAGTGGAGGCGTGGTGTGACGTTAAAGTATTGTTGCAGTGTTTGCTGGGTTGTTCGCTCATTAAGCAGTGATTAAATCAGCTGACAACACTGAGCGTCAAAGCGAATTAACAAAACCAAACAAAGACTCATAAAGTTAAACTAGTTTAAAGACTTTGGGTAAATACACTGTTGTTGTCTCTGGAGTTAAGAGGACATTTTATCATACTAATTAACGACATATTCATTTGGTAGCTTTAACAGTGCTGGTGCAATAGGTGGATGTATAGGCTTTGTGGTGAGCCAGGCTAGCTGTTTCCCTCTGATTCCAGTCTGAAAGCTATGCTAAGCTAACCACCCTCTGGCTGTAGCTTCAGCTAGTTTGGCTGGAAGAAAAATAAAACAGATTCCTTTGCTTTGAACTCTCTGCCAATTACTATCCATATGCTAATACAACAGAACTCACCTTCTCTATGGTTCCAGTCATGGGGGCCACAGCTCCACCCTGGGCCCCGGAGCCGCTCACACCGGCCAGATACTTGGGCACTGGAACAGACACCTGGGAGCTTCCCTCCTGTAGAAAAGATATAAAGATGTGACAGTTAACTGGCAGCTGAGGTATTTGGACGCTCTTTAATTCCCCCTCGTGTCCCCCCCCGTCACTTGTCTTAAAAAATGACAGCTGCCAAAGACAGGAAATAGAGACAGTTTCTGCTGACAGCTGAAGAGTAGTTCTCGTTAAATTCACTGAGGAAAGTGGAGTTACAGCTTCTACAAAATCTCTTATTTTAAATGAAGTCGCAGTAAATCAACTGTCAACAGGAGAAGCTGACACACTGACATAAGCCCACCTAATAAACTTACAATGTTTGGGTTTCAGAAAAAAAGCAGAAGCGCCAAATATTCTCTGGTTCCAGCTTTCTAAACATGTGCCTTTACTGTTTCGTCTTATGTGATACTAAACTCAATACACAGATTAGAATTGTACATACCCCCTCAGCAGTAGTGGGAGGAACGTACCGTGGAGAACAGGTGCACTGTATTGTCCAGGATAACCAGTTTGGGACGAGACTTCACACCATTGACGGAACAGTGCAGGAATGTCGCTCCACTTTCCATCTCCACCTCTCCGGTCACATGATACACCTCCTCGCCAATCTGAAGGGGGGAAACATTTATGATAAATGTGAAGGCACTTTACTTTTCAGAAAACTTTAGCTCAGTATTCAGTTTGCCAAATAAAAGCTGTGATATGTGGTTGAAAGCTCCAGAAAGAGCTAGTACAGGGACCTTGAGTTGGGCCAGCAATTCATTTTCAAGTTTAAAGGGAATTTGTTTGCTCTTATTTCTGCAAGAAAACAACGACAAATGAAAAGAGCGAGGAATGATTATGGATGCAGGACGTATTCCAGCTCACCTGCATCGTGTAGCTTCCATCGCTGTTGTACACGGCGACCACATCAACTTCTACAGACACAAACACGAGAGATGAAATGTTTTGTTATTCTGAATGTCCGAACAGGCTCGACAGGAGGACAGAAGCAAACAAGAGGCGACAATGAAGTAACTTGATGCAGAGGCAGTATCATCGCACCGACACAGCAGCGACCGGGGGATTTATTTTTGGCCTCGCAGTGACATTTTTAATAGAAACATTGAATAATGAATATGACTTCATTAACAAACTGTCACCGACCGGACCAGCTCTAATCTTAATTATTCAAACAGTCATTAAATAAATCAGATTCAGTTATGAGTCATCCCTAACTGTACTGATCTGCTTATTAAAACTAACACAATGCCATTTCTTCAGCTAATTTAACACATGATTTAACTGTAATCTCTATCATTCTATAACTGTAAAGCATCATTAACATTAATATAGGAGTACACCTAGCTGAAACCAAAGCAGTGTAATACAACTATCCTGCAATGAAAGTTTTAAATTCAACTTTAAAATAATTTCCGAGGATGTATTGCACTATACAGAGAGGTGTCTGTTATTCAGCATACTTCCACTGATATAAATGGGATGGACAAAATAACTGAAACCCCCATCAGAGGGAGCCAGAGCACAAGGTTTTTGATTGTTGGGATGCAATGCTTTTAAATACACCTACTTCCTGTTAGCCTCTGTTGCTAACTTAAAATCTAGTACTTTCTGAAG